TTACTAATTCAAGTTTAGTCTAATTTAATATAATAGAATGGAGATAACTGTTGACATTTGATTGGATTCATGTTTTAACCTCTGCCTTTTTCTTAAATGGTTAGATTTGTTCTATAACAACAGTAAGGAGGCACACCTCATAGAACATGTATGCAGACAAGCCAACCATGGCAAAGTTATAAACTATGAGAACCACTTTGAGATCAACAGGTTGCTGGTGTTTCATCAGACGTGGACCGGCCCAGACCACACAGAGGTAACCCAGGAAAATGATTGACACTGGGACAGGGGAGTAAACCAGCAGCCAGGGGTCCGTCCTTTTGTCTGGAAAACGATAAAGCTACAAATCAGAACCATCAGCACAATTGTTCTCTTGAGCACAGTTTGATTAAAAATGAGAAAACACAGTCAAACTAGGTCTTAACATTTGCTTTGTTTTTTTTTTGTTTTTTTTTGTTTTGTTTTTTTATGCAGGAATGCATCAAATAAAAAAAAAACTATAAAAGTGTCCAGAGATAAGTGAGCTCATAAATGTGACCCTCAGGAAGACTCTGAGCATGCCTTTATGATATAGAGTTGTAGAGATTTTTCAGGGCAGAGCTGGTAAATATTTAAAAAGTACTGGACTCCAATAAAACCTAAAGCTTTAAACTGAATCTGAAAAAAAAAAAATCCAGAAAGCTTTAGTTTAAGAAAGTTTGTGTATTTGTTCCCTTTTTTCGGTTATCTGTTACACATAACAGGATATCTGTTATGTGCAACAGAGGTTTTGAAATGATTTGCTAATAAACAAACAACTATTTTATCAGGGTTGTATGTGGTGGGAAAAATCTATTCCTACATTATAAAGCCTGAAAACCTGCTTGTTTTGTTTTATATATTGAATTCAATTCAGTTTATTTATATAGCGCCAATTCACAACACATGTCATCTCAAGGCACTTTACAGTTCACCAGATTATACAGTCAAATGAATTCAAACTTTTCTGTCTAAGGAAAACCAGTTGATTGCATCGACTCATTGACTCAAATGCAATCTCTCACAGTAAGCATGCTTGTAGCAACAGTGGAGAGGAAAAACTCCCTTTTAACAGGAAGAAACCTCCAGAATAACCATGCTCAGTGTGAGCGGCCATCTGCCGAGACCGACTGGGGTTCAAATATTGCACAAAAACATTTCACTCAGGCTACACTCCTGCTTGACTATGCATGGGGATTATTTTATTCATCATCACTGTGTTCATACCAAACTGTCTGTAGTTCTGAAGCTCTATGTGAAAACAGTTACAGTTTTCTCTAGAATGTTAAATAGTGCAAGCCTTTGTCTAGCCAGAACAGACAGAACATTGTGAAAAACTGCATCTGTTTGCCAGGAATGAAGACCACAGATATTGTCTTGTTGAATAAGCCTTTTAAACCAACATTGTACAATTTTCAACATGTTCAAAAGTTACATTAAGAACAAAAAAACTAAACAGTGCAAATAATGGCTGTCTGTTTCTCACACTGCCATGGATCTACTCTGAAAAATGTTACTAACAAGATAATATGAGTGTCATGGAGGTAAATTATGTGGAAAGCCACAAAGCACTGTTGTGGAGTCAATCTGAAGAGCATATATGCAGCTCTCATTTAGATCCGGTTATCTTGACTCATTTCCTTTGCTGCATGACATGCATAAAAAATAAATAGACAATAAATAAAAAATGGATGGAAAAGTTGCACCAAGATAAGTCACCCTACCTCCATTCTCCACTATCCGCTCGTGCACAGAGAGGACACTGTCCCATGCAGAAGCCATCTGAACACATAAAAACACAGATTAAAGGTGAGGGGAATACGAGCTCTGCTTTTACACCTGAAACATACATTGATATCTGATACTCACCTTGCAAACCCAGATCAGATCACTTCAGATCACTTTCGTAAGCCCGGTTCTCTCAGTAGGAGAACACCCTTCTTCACTCCCTTCGAGGACCTTTGGACGCTGCCTGGATTTCGCGTGATCACCGGAAAAAAACACGACATCAGCTGAAGTACCGTCTTGACAAAAAGGAAGCTTTTGATGTATTGAGTGGAAACACCACTTTAATGTTCGCCGAAGGAGTAAAAATCTCCTAAAGATGTACGTTCCAATGTAATTAGGAGATACTATCCATGACAACCTCACTTCCTGTGCTTCTCTTTCACATTCAACAGGCAGCGGGTAATTGCAGTCTTAGAACACTGGAGGGCGCTGTTTCCTCTAAATCAATATGCTACAAAGGACGCAATAATTAGACCTCAATATCAGAAAATCAGACATTTATTTAATTAAATCATCCCCCCCGCCCCAAGTATTGTGTGGACATGGCATCATTTAACTGATTGCCTCTATGTGAAGCTGTTTCAACTAAAAAATATAATTACATGTTTAAATATAAAGATTTTATGAAAACACCTGTCACAAAAGCACAGGTTGGATTTTATGGCTCATATCCTTCAAACAGATTTATATGAAGGAACAAAAGTTTCTTCTATTCCATCCTGATACTTTGGGCTTTCTATAGACATTAAAATGAATCCAACTGAGACTTTGGTTAATTTAAATCAATGTAAAATTAATGAAAACCACCCACTGTTCTACAACTGTGTTTTTAATGGGATAGAGGCACACTGCTTGTGGTTTCACATTGTTGGGTGGGTGTGTCTCCTCTGGTTCACCATGTTTCATAGTTGTTGAGATTTGGCCAGGCCATTTCTCAAGCACACTGTATAATAATTATTAAACCAGGAGCACTGAATTCTGACTTCATAAAAAACACTTGGCTGATGCCAGCGGTTAAACGACACCCTTAATCCCAAGTGACTTACAGTGCCTTTGGCCTTTTCTGGGACCTTGACTTCCTAACGAAAGAGCAAGGCGACTTTGGACCACTAAGCATCTATGGGCCAAGATAAGGATGAATTGATTTCCCTGATCCAAGCTGCTAAACGCAGTAAATAAGGCAGTTATAGCTCATGTCCTGAACACATAAAATGCGTTATGGTTCTTGATCCTCTGACATGGCTCTGACTCTGGTACTAAAAACCTGCAGCATGTTGGTTGTGATCTGGCATTGGGAAAATCTAGAACAAAAATGTCTATGATAGAGATAAAGGTTTGGCCTCTTTATACCTTCATAGAAGACAATCATGCACAACATATCTCTGACATAAAATGTGAGCTGACTCGGAGCTCCTCTGCCTGGATGTGTCTTTCCTGGACAGGCCACCTGTGGAGCTGGTTTACAGTTGCCTTTTCTATCTCTGCTTCTTTTTGTATCTCTGCTTCTGTCTCCTTGAATCCCAGACGGCCTCGGCAGATGGCCGCTCACACTGAGCCTGGTTCTACAGGAGGTTTCTTCCTTTTAAAATTGAGTTTTTCCTCTCCACTGTCACTAAAAGCATGCTTGGTTGAGGGACTGCTGAAGAGTCAGTGAGTCGATGCAATCAGATGGTTTTCCTTAGATAGAAAACTTTAAACCAATCTGACTGTATGATCTGGTTGAATTTTCTCTGTAGTGCCTTGAGATTATGTGTTGTGAATTGGTGCTATTAAAATGTCATAGCTTTGGGACTTTCCCTCAAACCTTTTAATAGGGTTTGCTTACAATCCTTGACACTTCTTTCACTGGTGTTAGAAAACACAAAAATGTTCCTGTACTTTGACATTAAATGTATTGGTGTATAATACATCTAACATCATAATCACTCCATCTTCACAAAGCTTCTATTATCCATGTTGCTTGTATAAAGTTTTTCCTTCTGCACTGATTGCCAGGTCTGCTTTGAAAGCCAGATTTTAATCTCACCAGTAACTTTCCTGGGGTTGAAAACAGATATTGAGAAATCAACGATCCACAAACACTGTGGACGTCAGACATGTTGCATACATAAACAAACATTCAATTATCTCTGGGCAGCATGTAGATGTGGATAAACCTTGGAGTCTGTGCTATTTCATCGTCTGCCAGTGACGCTGTGTCTTCTGAACACTATGAAATAAATAGATATATTTTGAAGAAGGGTAACTAGAGGTCTGAATTTCAACTGGGAAATTCTTATTTCTCACCACCTGGATAATTATCATTGATGATTAGTTTATTATACCCTTATATTACCTGCCTGTTGCATGTCAGAACTGATGTTTTCCCCAGTAGTTTACTTAATTAGGACAGTTCCTGTCTGGATATACAGTCATCTTCATTCTGTACGTGGATGGTATTTGGAAATGGAAAGAGAGCGACGTCCTTCAGCTAAGAACAAAGTGTAATATTTTGATAAGGCTGGAGCCATGGAGGTCTCCTCATCCGCAAACATCTATGATGTTGCGTACTGGGGTTGTATAAACTGCCAGTTGGTAAGCAGCTGGCTTCTGTGACCCTAAACAACTAGATAGATTTTACAATTACAATTTCTATCAAAATCTGTTCTCATGTCTCAGGGTTATTAACTACATATAAATTATTATGCATTATTTAAAGATTTTGTCCAAAACAATCTTTTTCAGGAAAAACAACCAGAGAAAGTTTCAAGCTATAGCCATCTTAGCATAATAAAAACTGATTTATGCAGGAACATTATTTACATATAAACTGTTTTTAAACTTGCTTTGGAAAACATTGATTCAGTAAATGAAAATACAACCAACAGTGAATATATAGTATTGCAAGCAAAAAAAACCTGGGTGGAAATCACAATTAAGTTTGTCATTTAGACTTAATCAATAACTTCTTGAGTAAATGTCACCAAAGTCATCAATGCAAGTTTTAATAGGAGTTCTTCTAAATATTTCCACTTCTGACCAAAATCTGTTGGCATATTCTTTGAAATCCATCCAAATTTACCTAGTCTGAGAATAAACGGGCCGTATTCATTTGTATTCGTTGTATCTACCAAATGAATTTACTACAATGCATAAAAGGGTATCTTTGAGAGGTTAACAATGACAATAGGTGTTTTTCCGGCACATGCCTGCAATTTAATCTTCAACACTTTTTATTATAATGAGGATTAGATTTCAAATGTATAATAAAAACATGAAATAATCTACATATAGTCCTATATGAATATACAGAGGGTATAAAAAATGCCACTTGATTAAAAATCTGTAGTTTTAAAGAAACTCCACATCTAACATGATGGACAGCCGTAGGGACTCTAGCTGTCTTCTTCTTCTTCTTCTTCTTTTTTTACAGGTTTAAAGAAGGAACTCAGAGATCGCTGTCTGCCTCCATCAGCTGCAGTCATTTTACTCTTCTTTGTTCTCTGTGACCTCTTGCCATCTTTTAGACCTTCAGGCTTTTGTCTTTTTCCATCCTAAAGAAGACAAGCAGAGACATATGATACATGTAACCGAGAGTATGATAATTATCAGATATTTGCTTCACACAAAGAGATCTGGTCAGGCTCTGAAAAGGGTAACTATTTAAGCAACTTACCTTTGAGTTTTTGTCCTTCAAACTGTTCACAGAATGAAAGAGCTTCAGGATCTGCAGAAAGGTGCAAACATTACCAGCCATATGGTAAGCATTGAACACACACTACAATAATAAGCATCAAAAGGTCCTTTTATTAATCAGCACATTTTGATATCCTGATGAAAAGTGCAAAACCCCAAAAAAACAATTATTATTCCTGCTAATCCGTATTGGGGTTGTCTTTCGTAGCTGATCAGCCTATTTACCAAGACTGAGCTGAATATGGTGATCTGAATGATATGGCTGAGATCTAGGAAGCAGGGAAATGTAACTGTAAAACCAAAACCATCTGAAACTAGAAAAGCACTCTGAAAGCATACCTTAAAAAAATTTGAAATCTAAATAAGTAATTTTTTCTTAAAATAAGTAAATTTTTCTTGAATTGAGGAGGTAAGTGAGACACCTTGCCAATGGAACAAGACAATTTACATTTAAAATAAGAAAAAAAATATTTTATTGTCTTATTTCAAATGCCCATTATCTAATAATTTTATTTTACGGAAAAAAATACTCACTCCATTGGCAAATCATCTTATTTATCTGCTCAAATTAAGGCTAGATACACTTAATTTAAGAAATTTTGATTAATTTCTAGATTGTTTTTTGCTGAGCGCAGACCTCTACCACACAGCAAATTTTGCTACAAATTGTGAATTCCAGATATAATTAAAACTCGCACACGACCTGGATCATTACCAAACTTTGATGAATTGTTCCTTGGCATGGCATGCCACCCTCTGGTTTAGTGGGGAACTGCTTGATCTGCAAACTATCTCCTCCTCATGATATCAGAGGTTTAATTGATTTTTTTCTTGGCATGAGGGACACCTCTGTGTACAGCATAACTTTTTTAAAGTTATGCTGTACACAGACATACAGACAAGCACACAAACTCTCAATGGCTAAGGGAATAATTAGCAGCATATCGGTGGTAGGCAATGAATTCAATGCAAGCACAAACCTTTTTTAGCCCTGTGGACACAGCAGCTTCCTGTAGGCCAGATCCAGACATCCACTTCTCCTTTTCAGTCTGTAGTTGTGTAGCATCCTTCTCCTTTAAGCACAGACTGTAAACCACGTAGGTCTGATGAATGTGGGAGAAGATGTGCACCACCTAGAGGCAGACAGTGAGGAGATGGCTGCAGAGAAAAAGGCTCTCTTGCAATGGAAAAGGGTGTGAAAGTTTGATGATAAAGATCCAGCTTACCTCTCCCACATACTGGAGTAAATGTTCATTCAAGCAGCTTCTCAGTATTCTGTTGACTTCTTCACATAGCGCCTTCCTATGTTTCACCTCAGCGTTGGACTCCTGCTGTAGCAGACTGGGGAACTCCCACAAACCTGCCAGCAAACCTGCAAACACAAACATCACTGTTTGATATTAAATTAAATCAAGCAGGGAGGCGCGTCTATCACTCTTTAGTGTTTTTTTTTTTTTTTTTTATCAACACAATAAGGAAAGTGCCAACCAGAGGGAGCACTGACAGATGGACCTCAGATCTTTAGGTTGTTTTTTCCTGAAGTCTCGCTTCAGGATGGAAAAGATGAGATCATGCAGCGCTGACCTTTGTCTGGTCTCTGTACCAGTAGATACTCCTCGCCATCCTCTCCGGGCCTGGTGACCACGCAGGTCAGCGTTCGCTCCACCCGGGGAGCTTTCTTGGCTGGCTTTCTGGGGAAGTTCTGGACGCCCAGCTGATCGTCCCACGGCTCCGAGGGACACAGGGAACAAGCTCCACTGTGCTCTGAGGAAACTGTGGGTCATTAAGAGGATTTAACTCATGTCCAAAAGTTGAGCTGAACCATAGGTGTTTACAGCCCTTTTTTTAACACTGTGCTTCTAAAAATACAATTAGAAAAACAAAAACTATAAAAAATGTAAAAACAGCACAGTACTTGATTAAAAGTAATATTTAACCCCTTTGTCTCTGAAATGGTTTGATCCATCGTCCTACCTGAGCACTCTATGCTGAATAAGTGAGTGGCTTTAACCAGGATATGTTGCACAGAGCTTATACTTAAATGTATAGTGCAGGATGTTCTTTTTCTGGGTGGATCATCAAAATAAGTAGTGCTCCTAATTTTCAGTCATTCCTATGATATATTTATGTAAGGCCATTCTACTTGCTTGTCCCCATTTTCAATTATCAGTAGTGAGTCTGACATGATGGAAAAATTGCAAATCTTCTTTTGGAAAGTAAGCGTTTATGAGCGAAGCACAGAGCACCATTTAAACAGCGCGTGCACTAGGAGAAATGGGATTGTGCATGCTCTCAAACGCATTTAATAGGCGTTCCCTCTTGGGAGAAGGTACAGGGTTTTTTTAAAGTGAAGAGGGCGGGTCTTTTTAGAAATTCATCAAAATCCTCCACAATACCTTTAAGTAGGATTATTACGGTATTATTATTCTTATTATTCTAGTCTTTGTTAGATTTTCAAAGTCCAAAGCATTGGAATTCAAACATCTAGTCTAAAACAGAGGAGAGGGCGGGTCTTTTCAAGAATTTGCAAAAATCCTCCACTTTACCTTTAATACAAACTCTTTTTAAAGATTACTAGTCCTCCTGTTTGCTGAGCTTAAATTTAGGTTACTCTTTATTTAATGGCAGGATTTAGCTAACATTACAGGTGTTCAGTACCGCAGCCCTGTTTAAACTGGAATAAGAGAAGCTAGCTGCTTTGCCAAGGTGCTAATATTGACAAGATATTAGCACGTTTGTGTAGAAAGCCTCATCAAGCACATCTGAGAGCAGAAGGAAGACAACTTCATGTAATAATATCATTCATATTGTTTGTTTGTGTACAGTTGTGCTTGAATATAGTGTAAAAAAAATCAGCTGCCAGTGAAATAAGAAAATAGCTGCTTCTGCTTTGCTTGTCGGTATTTGGCCAAAGTGTTCAGATATGATGTATTAGTTAATGATGGAGCAGTGATTGGCAAAAGGCAATGAGCAAGTTCCAAAAATGTAGAAAATATGTAAAAAACAGTGATATTAATCTTGCCTGGCCAGAGGACTCTGTGGATTCTCAGCACCCCTAAACCTCTGACCCTAGAATTGCCCCTGAGCTGAAAGCAGGAGACTTACTGCAGTCTTCAATATCTGGAATGTCCATCTTTCCTAAAAGCTTCTTCGCATTTTGCTCCTGTTTTAAATGAACCTGCACAAAAAACACAAATGAAAAGCTTTTAATACATTAGAGAATTTCCTCCACCCCCCGAGCTTCAACAGTGAGGCAACCTTGTGATACGAGTGACAGTGAGACTGGACAGGACACTGGCTGCACAGGGGTCCTTTGGGGGTGCAGACTCGTGCTCCCAGCTCCATCATGGCCTGGTTGAAGTCTCCAGGCCTCTTTGGATCCACCAGCAAATTAGCAAGACTCCTGAAAAATAAATAATAACTCAGCAGAGGATATTAGGATCACTGGTTAATTAAATGTCAATCTAAAGCGCACCAAAGAGCCTCTGTTACTGTGGGACTCGTGCTGTCAGCTCCAATGGCCCTCAGTCGACACAGCACCCGAATCACATTCCCATCTACGGCACCAGTGACCTGAGAGGAGATGGTACCAGGGAAGGAAAGTTAATAATGAAGCTATACTTTTTAAATAACACCTATTCTGGTAAACGTTAAGGAATTATTATGGTTTCGCAGTTCATTCCTAAAGCTATCCAATACCTCATGGACCGGATTTTTTATTACAGCTCTAGCATTTCAACTTAAGACTTAGACAGATTGATTTTGTCATTTTGTACACACAAGTGTAAACAAAAATACATTTTGTTAAGAACAGCTCTGTAGACAATTTCATTCTTTTAAAATGCAGCCTTGAAAAAAAGTAAAAAATCATATGTTTATATGTAATACAAACATATGACTGTATATTTATAGTTCTAACATTTAAATTTTTTTATAATGAAATATAATACAATAAAATAACCCATTTTAAATGACAGATTTAGAAAATCTTTTCTATTTTAAATCTAATTGAACTCCTAGTTGTTCATATGAAAATCGAGGAATCAGTGGAATTCATCTTGGGGAACCAGAATAAAAGGGGGTGAGCAGAAATACAGTTTTCAGACTTTTATTTAAAAAAAAAAAATCTAAACAACTTGCATTTTTTTCCTTCCATTTCACAGAAATAAATTGTTTGGTTTCACATTGGAGTTTTTATCTTAAAATATGAGAACAGCTCTGAAATCTTTCTGAAGAAACTTAAGGTATACTGTAGGATGTTCTTTTTCCGGGTGGATCATCTAAATAAGTGGTCCTCCTAATTGCCAATTATTGTGGTGATATGTTTACCTAAGGCTGTTCTATGTGCCCGTCCCCAGTTAGCTATCTTTTTCTGCGCATGCGCACTTTCAGGCATGAGCTATGGTTTCAGCCAGTCATTGAAGCTCATTTTTCTCACCTCGCTTCTTTAAAAATGACTGAGCATCATAAGAGAAAAAGTATCTACTAAGTGTATGAGAAGAAAAAAAAAGCCCTCAGAAGAGAGAAACAAGACCAGAGTGTTTTTGGGAGATTCTTTCATGCGAAAACATACCGGTACATTTAAAGCACACGACAGGCTTCCTCGGTTGCAAAGTTTCTACTCGATGGTAAAGCTTGGCATGCTATTTGGAGAAATCCATTTCGCATCACTGCTAATAATGGGCTCTTGCATGCTCTCGCACACGTTTAATAGTGCTTCCCTCTCGGAAGCAGGTACAGGGTTGTGCAAGTGCATTTCCTTTTAAAGTGCAGAGGGCAGGTCTTTTAAAAAATTTTGTATAATCCTCCACTACACCTTTAAAATTTGACCAGGACTAATATTAATATTTCTGATTGTTATTTTTACTGCGGTACAGAGTAGGCATATCAGACTTCTATGTAACACATAAAATGTTAAACTTTCATTAAGTCTAATTTCTAATTTGACAAATCGACTTGTAGGACCTATCAAATAAACTCTATAAGAAAAGGTTGGAAAGTTTTCAAGTTTTAACTACTTTTTTTTTTTTTATTACAGTTGTAACTTTTAAAACAGTGAGGTTAAAATCAGTATAACTTTTTTTTTTAGATGTTTTATATTTAAAACTAAAATAAAAAGAGAAAAATAAATTATTTCAGAGGGAATAAAGAATTGATTGATTTTGATAAACTTTTTAGACTCTGTAGTATTGTGTGAGGCACGTCAAGAACTAAAGCTAATTAGAATCTTTTACGATGCATTAAGTGTCTAACTGCGAAATGTTTAGTGACGTTAAGAAAGGACAGTGTGTCAGAGCAGCATTTTTTTTCATTGACCCACAGCAGCTCCAGTCACTGGACCAACCTGCCCCAGAGCAATAGACCCGATGGCTGCAGCCGTGTAGCGTCCAACGCCAGGCAACTGTTTCAGCAGGTCCTCAACAGTCCGAGGCATTTGTCCCTCTAGCTCTGAGACAACCTGAAGGAAAACATCCAGTAAAAACAAATGATCACATCAAAGTACTACAGAACTACTGGAAAAGTATATTTATTACAAGCAGCGCTCAAACATTTTATTATGGATGCACCTTCTGGGCTCCTTCATGCAGCCTTCTTCCTCTGGAATAGTAGCCGAGCCCCGCCCACATCTGGTTTACCTCCTACACACACAAAAAAAAAAGAAAAATAAATCTATTTATTACATCTAAAAAGAAAGGCCTTTCTGCATGCATTGGTTCAAACAAGTACCTCTATTGTAGCAGAACCGAGATCCTGCACTGTGGGCCACCTCTGCAGCGTAAAATATGCAGCATTGTTATTAAGACTTCACAAAGGATTGTTTAAACGTTAGATAAGGTAAAAGACTTTCACATACTCACCTTCATCCATCTGTTATAGTAGTCTTTGACTGTTGCAACTTGGGTCTGCTGCAGCATTATTTCTGAAACCCACACTGACCCAAAGGATAAACTATTTACAGATCAACATCAACAAATGCATTAAATCGCAGTAAAAATTTGTATAGATTTTCTTGAACCCATCCGTTTTTATTACCTGCATATGTCCTGATGTTAATGTCTGATTCTGTTATAGCCTAGAGAACACACAGAGTCAGGCAGGACTACTTTTACATTACAAAGGCTTAATCAAGAAGATTACAATTGTTATGGTAAGAATAGAAACCCCTGTAATTCATTATAAGTCAAAGAGCTTTGAAAACATTTGTACATTTATAGCGTCATTAACGTCTATCCTATTCTGGTAAAATAGTTGGGATGGTCCTTGATTGTTTTTTTTTTGTTTGTTTGTTTGTTTTTACATAAAACCTGCACTTATTAACACTAGTTAGCACAAAAAAAGACTAAACTAAATGAAAAATAAATAATTGTGAACAAGCATGACAATTAAAACAAAAGTACAAAAGTATTTTTTTTGCAAAATTAAATATATCTATGCAGATAAATTATTTTAGATAACAATAAAATCACCAAACTAACAGTTCGATTAGACTGCAGTGTTTATACATTAGCAATAAGTTGACAGTGTAAAGTAGTGATTAAACATGCCAATAATAATAATTTACCAGAGTCCTCCATGGCAGCTCTCTCTTCTCTCGGTCATACCAGTGAAGGAGCTGAGATCGCAGCTGCACAACCTCAGCAGGATCAGAGAATGAGTGATATGAAGAAGATGGACACAGAGTGTCTGGCTCTGGATGGGATGGAAAACATAAAGCAAATATAAATAATCAAACAAAACACAATGAAATACTCCCTGCTGAAATAGGAAACGTCTTCAGGCTTTTAGGCTTTATATGGGGCCAATTGTGACATTAGAAGCCCTTATGCCATATGATTTCAGAGTCAGCAGTCCATCATGATCTGCTGATCTCCTGTTAATGTAGGCAGCAATGATCAACATCACATTGAAAGTAATCAATACTGTGCAGCCTCTAATTTTCAATAACATTTGAAATTCTTAAAAAAAAAAAAATCGGTGTTTTTTTTTTCTTGCTTGTTTGCTTTTTTTTTTTTTTTTTTTTTTTGGACCGTTATATAGAGATATATAGTATTTCTTTAAAGCCAAATTTATAATATTTTTTGGTGATACCAAGCTTTAGAAACATGACTCTTTGTGTCCATGTGGTTTGTTATTTGTTGTATTTGTTTTTACATAACAGAAAAATGATAGTCCAATAAAATAAAGCTATTGTATTTGCTGTCATGTGCATAATATTTTTTGCTCATTTGTTTGTTGTTGCTTTTCTTTAACTGCTATATTTTTAAGATGTTTACAATAGGTTAGAGAGCTAAGAAAAACGAATCCACAATCAGAGCAAACTCTTTCCCCTGGAACTGAGGGCTCAGTTAGTGCTCCTAAGTTCATGTTCAAACACCACCCAGACCTTTTCTCTTATAATAATTATGAAACCAGCGTGGTACCTTGTTTCAATGATGTTTTTAATCTCTTCCGGGGTTGAATACTTTTTTCCAGTGTCTCCACGCGAGCTTTTTGACCTTTGGCAGCTGCTAATCGTAACCTGCTCATTATTGAACTCTGCAAACAGGAGATAAACACTGTGTTCTAAAAAATAACCATGGATTCCCCTCAGAAATGCATTGCAGCTCGCGCCACCTTCACAGAGAACGGCTAATACTCGTCCAATCAGCGGTAAGGAAATACAGCGCAATAGCGGCGTCACATCCGAGCGGCGGGACTAAATAAACGAAGCACTTTTACAGCTCATTCTAAAATCTCAACAAGAAAATCGCCAAAAACAACAACAAAAAAAACAAAGCATGTAATAAGACTGAGTGATGAGAAAAGCAGCGAATTTATGAGTAGTTAAACCTGCGGGGTTTTATTCAATAATATAGATATTAAAGTAGATTGTTCCTGGGTTATACTTTACATAGGTTGTAAAACCTACCGATAAAACTTTACCCATTGCTACTAAACCAATCAAATGGGAAGAATAAAAACATGAGTTATAAACATTTATCGCATAAAATACAGTACTAAGTTCCACTTCAACATCAAATAAAATCATAAAGTAAAAAAAAAAAAAAAGACAAATTACGACCAAAATTCATAAGTATAGCTAGTGCCTAAAATTATGAATTTATTGTATGTCATGATTTATGGTTACTTGTAATCAATCATTGGTTGCTTTTAAAATGTATGCCTCTAAAACTGTGATATTATTCAGTTTTTTCATAAAATAATTAAAATATTTTATCCTCATGTTTAAATTCTGTAAACATATAAAAAAGAAGAAAACAATGGTTAAACGTTTAGATACTATTAACCAGCTTATTTTGATTGCTTTGTGTATTTGTGCCAGTTAATTAAGTTTTCCATCTAATTGGCAGTCAGCTTTGTTACAATTAAAATAAAAAAACAAACGTGACAATGAGCAGGATGAATCAGGATTTTACATAAATGACTAGACATTTTCTAACCTTTAAATAAGATTATTATGTTGACACATTAGCTTTGTTCAAGTGCAAAATCTTTGCTCTTTTTTAATTCTCGTGTTATTTTAAGAAAATATTGTCTATGAGTTTGTGAAAGACAATTAAAACGTTTTTCATATTTGACTTGTTTTAGTGACAAGAAGCTCCCAATCAGGGCTGCAAACAGGATGGAGGAAGTGCTTATCAGTAAAAAGTATTTCTTTAAAGCTATATTTATCTATTTTATGTAATACAAAACATCAGAAATATGAACAAAATAAATAAATAACTGACTCTTTGTGTTCATGGGCAACCATGTGGTTTTTAATCTTTGTTTTTGTTTTTACATAAGAGAGAAATTACAGTTCAAGTCCATTGTTTGAGCTGTCCTATGCACAATATATTTTATTATTTGTTTTAACCACTGTTACACCCTCTGTTTAAACGGGCTTCTGATGTGCAGCTAAACAGACAAAGCAAAGGAAGTGTTGAAACCATTATTAACCAGATGGGGTTGTGTTTCAAAGCAAAGTAAATCTAACCTCAATGCGAGGGTTGCTTTTATTTGAGAATCATTGTGCTCTCTTTTTTCCACTGCATGCAGAAGTTGGACTCTCCAAATAATGTAGGCAGTGTTTAAGAAGAAACATATGCAATGCCAACATCTATTAAGAATCCATAGAATAAAGGGGTTAATAAATGAGCTAACATCAAAAGAGACTGGTAAATAGAGGAATATAGTAGTAGTATTTTTAAAGTGCATATCCTTGCAAAAGTAATTTTTTATTTTTAAACTATCATTATATTTTCATATTATTATTCATCCATCCGTTTTTTGTGTCACGCTTTATCCCTGCTGGGGTTGCGAGGGGTGTTGGTGCTCCAGCTGTCACTGGATGAGAGGTGGGGCACACCCTGGACAGGTCGCCAATTTATCGCAGGGCAACACAGAGACAAGGAGGACAAACAACCATTCACGCACACACTCACACCTAAGGAGAATTTTGGTAAATTAACCTAACAGTCATGTTTATGGACTATGGGAGGAAGCCCGAGTACCTGGAGAGAACCCACTCATACACAGGGAGAACATGCAAACTCCATGCAGAAAGACCTCAGGCCAGGAATCAAACCCCGAACTTTCTTGCTGCAAGGCAGCAGTGCTACCCACAGCTCCACTGTGCAGCCTATTATTATTATTATTATCTTCATCATCATCTAACAGGTATAGGTCTGAAAGGTGTACCATGCCTTTATGTTAACCTCCTGATTCATTATTTTGTATTTGAACAGCCGTTCTGAAGTTAAAGAATGCATTGTCACCAAAGTTACATCTCATCTGGACAGAACCCTGTTTTCCACATGTTTGCAATTTCCCCTACATGGTTTGTGAAAAACAACAATAACATTTTGTTGTCTTACTCCAAAAATCCCACAAGAAATCTGCAATGAATGAATTCTCCCACTGGAAAGGAGGATCTCTACAGTTTCCTAGGCAGTTTGCTGTTGTCGCGTATTCTTTAAATTTTCAGATGAACAGCTCTTAGAGAGATTGAAGACAATTTTACAAACTTTTTTGCAACATTTCCTCTGAGTATTCTGCCGTGTTTCTTTGTCTTCTTGATGATGTCCATTTTCCAATATTATCTAGCAAACCACTAAGCCGGCACTGTATTTAAATACAGATTTTATCTTTTTACTACTACTACTACTTCTACTAATAATAATAAGCAGGTGACTTCAGTGAACAATTGATTGCACAGGATTGTTGTTTTTTTGTTGTTGTTGTTTAAAAAAAAAGGATCAGAGTAAAAGGAGCTCAATACAAAGGTAAGCCATCATTTTGAGATATTTTCTCTGGGAATTAATGATGCTGAACCACAATAAATCCTAATTTAAATAAGTTTAGACTTATAAGGCTAACATGTTAACATATGCTAAACATTTCGCAGAAAGAGTCTCTCTGTCTGTAACTAAGCAAAAATTAAACTTACGACTAATTTAACACTGAGGCATCTGCCCACATGTTCTTTCTTTCCCATGGGATTAAACACACCTTTATTGGGTGTGGTAATTGCTGGGAAAGTCTCTTTGCTGATTTCTTCAGTTCCATTTTTCTCAGGAGATTGGTTAGTTCACTTCTCCAAAGTACTGCAGATATATTGAGTACAGGTAAGCTAATGGACAATTTACTGTTACTCTGCAAATAAACTCTGAATAAAACACATTTTATACAGCACTTAAATTTGACCATTTTCCCGCTTGTCCTCTGAATTTTAACAGCACAATGAAAGGGAAAACCTTGTTTTTCTACAGTTTTCTTCTGAGAATTTGCTTTGCTAATGGTGAGTAAAAATTTGATTTGTTTCTTTGTAAGCTATAGCATTACTTTATAATAATCTCATTTATCTTGGATCAAACTTGAAATAGGCAACAATGGACTTTTTACATCACCTCTCTTTAATAAAGGTGTTTGAAAGAATATTTTACATTTCAGTAGTTTGTAACTGTTTATAAACTATATTCTCCCTTGTTTTTTTACGCCCTCTGATGTTTTTAGTGTGGATAGACATGAAGTGAAATGTTTAGTTGTTTATATGTCTTAATTACTGTCATTTTTTCCTGAAGGTTATGAAGAAGGTTTTGTCAGACTGATGGGAGGTCAAGATAACTCTGAGGGCCGTGTGGAGATCTTCCATAATGGGGCCTGGGGGACCGTGTGCGATGACAGTTGGGACATTAATGATGCCAAAGTTGTGTGTCAGCAGCTCCTTTATCCTGGTGCAAAAGAAGCTCCAGTATCTGCTGCTTTTGGGCAGGGTAATGCTTCTAACTCTGAATAACTTTTTCAAGGCAGTACAGATTAACTCTAATAAATTAAGAGAATTGCAAACATAACACTCCAAGTTTTTTTTTTTATTTACAATAAAAAAAAAACCTTACTGCTTTTCTTAGGAAGCGGAAACATCTGGATGGATGACTTAGGATGCACAGGAAATGAGATAAGCCTCCTTCAGTGTACCTTTGGTGGATGGGGAGTCCATAATTGTGGCCATTCTGAGGATGCTGGTGTTAGGTGTGAAACTGGTAAGGCTTCCAACTCCAAGTGACATGTATCCATATTTTGCTGAGAAACAGACAGAAACACCCTATAACCTCCCTACTCCCGTGTGCGTTTTGGTGTCTGGCAGGATCCGAGCCCAACATCAGGGACCCCACCCCTGAATACACTGTGGACCATAATGCAACCCTTACTGCGGAACTGGGGGAGCTGTTTGACAGTGGGCACGGCTGTGACCTGAACATACCAGTGATGGTGGACAACAGCACTGTAGAGACAGTCTGTGTTCACAGGGTTATACTCTCCTTGAACGCTAATCTCAAAGAATCACAGCCAGATTTCCACAGACTGAGCATCAGTGTCTCCTCTGAATGCAGTCAATATGCCAGAACATTTCTAAGGTAAGTTTATTTCCAGCCATCTGATCTTGCTCATAACATATATATTTTTTCTGGACTTCTTGAAAATGACCCAATTGTATTGGTAAGTTACTTGAAAGCAATGCAGGATTTTCCTTCCATTTTGTAATAACTCAGAACAGAGGACCCAGAATTCAGGACAGTGGAATAATTAAAGGCTTTTATTTTAAACACAAGAGCAGTTTGTGGATCTGATGTATCAGCAGCTAGGGTGTCTATGACTGAAACTCTGCTAATTTAGTCCTGTAACCAAAGAAGGTCAAAGGTCCAAAGGCAAAAACAGATCAGGATCAGAACACTAAACTCGCTAGAAAACTCTTTTCAACAAAGGCTCAAGAATAATCTGGCTCTGTTGGCTGGGGAACAGGGAGCTTAAATAGGAAACTGGAACAGGTGGATCTGGTGAGGAACAGAACAGAGCTAGACAGGTGAAGGAAATGAATGAAACTCTAATTTAACCCTAAATATTTTGGAGATTATTGTATTAAGTTATTTATTAAAGAAAACTAATGAATATTTCATATTTCAGATACTTCTACACAAGAAAAGTTAAATTCACGATAACCTCTACCTGCATAATCAAGATGGCTTATGACTGGGGCCTGACAGAACTCCAGGACGAGGCAGCACATGTTTTCAGGAAGGTTCTCACAGAAGATTCCACTTTCCAGAGCCAGATTTCTTTCTGTCAGTATGCAGTTCTAGTCAGCGATGATGCTCTGAAGGACATCTGTCTTCGTTACCTGGCATGGAACTGTGAGACCCTGATCGATTCTCCTGCTTGGACCAAACTTCCTCTCTTTCTAGTCAAAGCCCTTCTTTCACGTTCAGACATTTTGGTTCATAATGAAACTGTCATTTTGCATGGACTGGAGAAGTGGGCAGCTGCTCAGGAAAACACCACTATTCCTGAGATCCTTTTAGTGAGAACCCTATATTTATTCCCAGTCTTGCAGAACAGACTTACCCATGTCAATCAACAGGGTTCTCATATCAAGTGGTGGTTTGTCCTTACTACTCAACGGATTAGGTTTGGTATTCTCATGAAAACCAATTAAATGGAGAGCGTATTGTATAATCATTGCTATTATTTAACCATATATATGTATGCACAGCATTCTATCAAAGAAATACCAACTGAACCAGTGTAATATTCCCCTGTGAGGAACCAAACTTTAATGAGGACCAAAAGTGTAAAAAAAAAAAAAACGTTTTTAATAATGTCAAAAATGACAAAGGATCAAACGGCAAAACAAAATAAAATGGGCCCAACTGAACTGAGGTCAACTGAAAAGTAACTAACTCTGCTTAGGGCCCTGTCACACCTTGCCGATTTATCCAGCGTATGCCTGACGTCCCAGAATCTTCTAAAACGCTGGGATACACTAAACGTCCTGTTTTTTTTTCTTCAATTTTGGGTGTGTATATATCGAGTATTCTTTATGCGTCCAGAGCGTATGTCAAACGACAGCCTAGCTTATGCATAACACACTGGAGCGTAATGCCCATTAAATGATGCACAAGCCCGTGTCCTGAGGGGGGCAGCGATGCGCCTGGAGGCACCTTATCTGCATAAATAGATTTATTTGATTGCTGTATTAACCTAACTGCCTGCCAAAAAAAAAGAATAGAGAAAAAAGAAAGTAGGTTTGCAGTCACTGTAGATTCAGTGCCATGTTTGCTAGGAAGTTTGTTGGTCGTGATATGCATTGGAAATAAGGTCTTGATAAGTTATACATAAGTTATGCACACATTACTCCTAGGTTTTGGATAAGCTAGACATTACGACTTATGAGTAAATTACACTTTGCATATCTCAACGATCACATAACTTACCTGTAACTTATGCCCCTCTTATGGCATACGCTGGTATACGTCGGGAAATCCCGAAGTATTTGCCGTATGTCGACGTGTTTCAGCATGCTTCGGCTTACTTCATCGTGCTTATACCTTATACAAAATGTACGCATAACTTAGCCAAGATATCCCATCATTTTTGCTAGATTTTTCATATGTCTGGCATACGCTCGCTAAATCGTCAATGCCTTTAAATAGGGGTGGAATAACTTAAAGGGAGGCACAATATAACAGAGAAAAACCAATAAAGAAAAAATCCTTACAAAACTAAAACATAATAAAAAAATAAAACAACTCTTTAACCTAGCAAAAGTAATACGTAAATATTAAGGTGACAAAATAACTGAGGTCAACTTAAACAACATTTCCCCCTCAGTTCTTCAGGAAAGTGGTATGTTCCTGGCTTTCACCTGCAGCTTATCTGCATTTGCAGAACCTCAAAGACAAGAACAAGAGTGAGTTAAACCATTCAGACATATGAACAAAAGTGTGCACCCATAAGAAAATATACATCTAAATGGAATAACTTAAAATTAATATGGAACTAAATACGAACTATGAAAACTATACAAACACTTTGTTGTGGAGGTAGAAGGATCCACCACATACCCCAAGTAGATTTTTAAGACATTTTGATTGTACTTTTTCAGGGGTGTCTCAATCTGATTGTTTTGCTGCTTGTACTTATTATCGATTTCTTCAGTGTAATAAAAAAAAACAACATGACCATTGTATGATTTTTTTAATGATTTTAGTCATCCATTCACACATTGATAGTGGTGAGCTACATTGTAGCCACAGCTGACGTGGGGCAGACTGACACTCAGCACCACTAGGCAGTCATAAAAGAAAATAACAACAGAGATCTAGCTTGAACCCTGACATCCTCACCTACAGTCATCTCTAGTAACTCACAAAGACGTTTAAACTCCATTTTCAAATAGTATCAAGATAAATCTGCTATGAATCATATAAAAGGTCAACAGCAGCAACCAGTTAAGCGCAAATATCAGCAGAACGGGTTTTTCCTGTTTTATTTATTGTTTTGTTCCAACAGGCCCTGTAATAGTTTGATCCTGCTAAGAGTATTTGGGAAAAAACAATACATGTGTGAAGGTTTTCCCAAGTAGATCTCTGAGAACTGGTCCTAAGGAAATGTTTTGTTCCTTGGGTTTTCATGAGAAACATGTGCACTTCCTAAATCATTCTGGAAACTACCGTAACTGTTTGGGAGAAGCAAAAATAACACCAAATGTTAACAATAATTACCGGTTTCAGTAAATTTGCTGTTTTTCTCATTAATTGTTACTGCTCAAGTTTTTGGTAATTGTATTTCTTTTAAAAGACTGTATAATCCAGATGTTCAAATGCACTTAAAATGCAATGATTTCAATAAAATATTAAATAGAGCTGCAAAAACAAAAGATTGAGTTAGCAATACCTAAGTAGTGTTGATTTAGAGTGCCTTGTAGAACCCCTCACAAGGTATTCTATCATCCCCAATGTAAAACATGGTGGTGGTGGCATCATGTCGTGGGTATAAATTTTTTTTCAGAAAGGATAGGAAACCTCTAAAATAAAAGCTGACGTTTTGTGCTATTTATTGACTTCATTACATTTATTTTTGTTACCAATCACACATATAGGTAAAACTAAGCCTATGGTATTTGGAAATTGTAAAGGTATAGGGATGTGCAAGTAAAAAAAATAGTGAAACAAGTAAACTAAGTTATATTTTTTGGTTGACTTGAATAATGTCCAGAACACAATATACTCAGACTAAAATATCCAGAAGCATCTTAAATCTTATTAAATTAAATCATTCTCTGGATTATAAGGCCCAGAATGTTTTTTACAGTTCAATTTAATTAGATCTTAACCGCAGTTTTGAATTAAAGCTACAAGACTTCACTCAAAATCTTATCCATGCTCAAGAAAAGAGCGATTAGGATGGTTCCTGTTAGTTTGGGTATCACAACCAAACTAATCTGTTTTTCATAAACGATCGCTTGCTAAAAATCTAGTCGAATTTTAAATAGTCTTTGTTTAAACAATGCAATAAACACAGGTGTGGTGGTGACATGTTCACATGAAACACTCACTTTAGCAGCAACGTCCACCGCTCTTCTTTCCTTCTCTTTTCGGGAATCCCCTTAAGTATCTCTTTTCGGTATCCATCATCGCAAAATCATTGTACGTATTGGTTATGGTTTCAATCTGGATTACCCATAATTCCAAGTCGTAGTGTAAAAAATAAAATACTCAAAACCATTGTTCTTTTAAGATCTTTATTGCAGTTTGAAACATATTATATAAGTGTATTTATACACAGTTATTAACATAGTAATTACACGTACCACTGTCTGCTTTGCTATTGGTGTCGTGTTTAAATGGCTCACCATCATGTTGAAATCTGGCATGTGTTGCGGTATTAATAAGGTCTGGTCAATTAACCTAGTATTACTTGAGTTTAAGAGGAATTTTTCACACCATTACATCTGTAAAGAGACATCCTAGTCCACAACTGCAAAGGGGGCCCACCAGGAGACAGTGACAGGGCCCCGAAGAGGTTGGGGGTCCCTAAGCAACTGCAGTCTCACTTCACTACTCATGAGCAATTTGTGGCTACAAGATAAGAACATAATGATTTTACCCTTTTACTTTAACTTTATGTTGTGAGTTGACTGACAGTATGTAATAAGTTACAGGGGTTCAAGGGGGTTAAGATGTTGGAAGTAGGGTATGGCAAGCCATTTTAAAATAAATTCGGTTCTACTGCCTTTACAGTCAAGATATCTCAAATTGTTTTATGACAAGACATTTTAGCGATTTAAGATATTTCTAATTATATTTTGACTAGTCAAAATACCTGTTCGGGATAGCTCTAATTACATTCTGACTAGTCAAAATGACGTCAGATTTACCATTAACTTGTATAGAGACGTCAGTTTAAAATATCTAGAAAGAATTACTGACTATCTGAAACAAACATTTCAGATATCTACGATTGAATTACGACTAGTCATAAAGTAATTTCAAGATATCTCAATTTCAGTTTTGACTAGTCATAATTCTAATTAAAGATATCTCAAATGCCACCATAATTCATGATATCTTAAATGTATTTTAGGATAGGACATGTGCAGTTTTGACTAGTGAAAAATAAATTATCCATCCATCCATCCATCCATCCATCCATCCATCCATCCATCCATCCATCCATCCATCCATCCATCCATCCATCCATCCATCTTAAAAGCAAATAATGACTAGACAAAACAAATTTAAAGATATCTTGAATTGTAATTTCGACTATTCAAAATTCCTCTTAGGAAATCTCTAAATGAATGAAAGATATCTTGAATTATTCAGCTTTTCCATTAAAGATATATTAAATTGACATTCTGACTAGTCAAAATGACGTCAGATTTACCATTAACTTGTATAGAGACGTCAGTTTAAAATATCTAGAATGAATTACTGACTATCTGAAACAAACATTTCAGATATCTGCGATTGAATTACGACTAGTCATAAAGTAATTTCAAGATATCTCAATTTCAGTTTTGACTAGTCATAATTCTAATTAAAGATATCTCAAATGCCACCATAATTCATGATATCTTAAATGTATTTTAGGATAGGACATGTGCAGTTTTGACTAGTGAAAAATAAATTATCCATCCATCCATCCATCCATCCATCCATCCATCCATCCATCCATCCATCCATCCATCCATCCATCCATCCAGGAGGATCATTCCTTAAAAAATCATTATAGTCAGTTTAATCCACATGAGGAAAAGTTAAGTCAACTCCATTTACTGTTATTTTCAGCTCCCCTACTTATGAATTACCAATGTGTGACACTTTAAATGACTAATCCGTTGTCGTAATTTGAAATATCTTGAAAGGAATTTTTACTAGTCAAAATGTAATTTAAGATATCTTGAATTAATATTCTTCCTAATAAGAATGTAAATACAGATATCTTAAATTACCTTTCCGGATAGTCAGAATGTGGTTTTGTGTAGTCAAAATGTATTTTAAGATATCTAGAACGTAATGTGGATGGTCAGACGAAACCGAATTTGTGTGCAAATGGCTTGCCATACAGGGTCAGGCCCTACCCGCCTGTACTACCAGCAGATGGGGGTATAGTGAGGAAGCGGACCTACAGCTGGAGGTCTGCTGCCCTCTGCTGGCTGCTTCCCGGTAAATATGCTTCTTGTACTCCTATAAAGAAACCACATCTCATGTTGAAGAAGGAATGAACCATATTACATTTTAGCACGAGATAAGCTCTTTCTATAACCCCTATAAAAAACATTATAACTCCACCGTTTGGTATCTGTTCGCCTCAGAGCGACCAGGCGGCACTTTTTATCTCCAACCGGCGGAGAAAACAACAGATAGCTGCCGCTTCACGTGCGCGAGGAAACGCTGGATTTTCAATTTGATATTTTTCAGGAGGAAACTCAGATTTACCCTTTAAATCTGGTTATATTTGCTCAGACATAACGGAGAGGGGAATAATGTCTCCGCTGCTGCGCGTCCAGTTGAGAGGAACACAGGGAGAGTGACAAGGACGGGGAGAGAGGGAGGAAGAAAGGGGAGGGGAACTGACATTAAAGCAACACAACAAGGAAACTACACTGCGGAGCCTCAGAGACGCCTTCATTTTATGTTTTTGAATAATAGCCGGAGCTTGAGAGGCGAAGTGTGAGTGAAAGGCAGCCCCCGGAGAGCTGCGGCTTTAAGTGTCCGGGGCAGAAAGCGGCTTTTTTGACCGAGCTGGATTTAAAGGCGCTCTCCGTCTCTTTCTCAGACATGGGTGAGAATAATGAAAAATGGCTTTTAATTGTGATTCTGAGGGAAATTAACAGAGAGAGGAGGAGAGGGGGGGGAGGGGGGGGGGGGAACAGCCATGCAGGCCTCTTTTCCTGTGTCCTGTAATTGGAATAGGAAACAATAAACATCAGCTCAGTTTAACTGGAATTAATTAAATCCCCAATTTAGATCATCTTCAGATAAACAGCCACACTTTAAAGGCTCTATATCTGTAGCATGCGGCAGTAAAGAGGGAAGCTCATTACAACAATGGATTAATCCTAATGTTTGAGGGTTTCCTGCTCAAATAGTCCTGAAAAGTATTTGTGCTTTATAACAAGTCGTGATGCTTATTTTGATTGTTTTAAGATTAGATTGTCTAGGTTTAACTGTTTCTGTTTTCCTCAGGGTCAGAGCCACCTGGATCCCCTCAGGTGGTGGAGGATGGAGGTGAGGAAGATGAGGAGGAGCTGAGTGGAGGAGAGGAGGCAGATTTTAGGTCCAGCTCAGGCAGAGGCTCCCTGCTGACCCGGAGGGGCATCACCCTGAGAGTGCTGCTGAAGGATGGGCTGGTGGAGCCTGGCGATGGCGTGTTGGCCATCCACTACCTGGTAATGAAACACAGCTTTAGAGTCAAGAACATGATCTGGGATGTAATCCCATCCTCTGCCTCTCCCCCCCCCCAGGGTAAGAACTTTGTTGGGGACCTGCTGAATGATGGGAAGATCCGATGGGTGGAGACGGGCCAGATCTTTAACTCCCCAAGCGCCTGGGCGACACATTGTAAACGCCTGGTGAACCCAGCCAAGAAGTCCGGCTGTGGATGGGCATCAGTGCGCTACCGGGGTCACAAGCTGGCCCAGTTCAAGACCACCTGGCTGCACAAGTATCAACCAAGCGCGGACATGGTGAGGAAAGGGAAGGAGTGACGCCAACTTTAGAGATGAAATGAAACTTCAGACGTTTAGAGTGTTTCTTAACAGATTTAATCCATAGAATAAGCCCCAGCTAAGGCAGCATTTTACAGGGAGTGACCATCCTGTTAATGGTATTCTTACTATGGATGTTTTCTTTACATTCCTGGTAAAGATAATAATAACTAAAAGTTACAACCATCCAACCTTTATTTTTATCTGTCATTTTTTAGCTAAATTGTTTTTGCATGTATGACCCATTTTCTGCCTCATATTATGTTTGTGCAAAACAGTTTAGCAAGACCCTTTAGAGTAGAAACAGCCATTATAACCTCTGGGCTTCAATATGGGCACAAGTTGTTTTCTTTTGCCATGAAGGTACATGGTTCCACTGGAAGTCTCTAAACTCTACAACCTTACTTTTGTGATGGTATGGAGAGAAAAAAAGAAGCTTTTTTTAATGAAATCAATCCCAAACCTGCAGTTAATATGTACTAGGGCTGCAACTAAAGATTATTTTGCTACTGGATGAATTTGTTTTTTTATTTTTTTGATTAATCCATTAATAATCTGTTAGCAAAAGATTCCTTAAAGAAGACTTTTTACAAAGTTTTTTTTTTAAATCTTAAATACAAAATTTTTATATATTTATTTAGCAGTTTTTGTATATTTGCAAGAGTTGGTTGATCTGTCACCTCAAGGCATATTTTAAAGTCTCTAAACTCATCAATTACTAAATTAGTTGATGATTATCAAATAATCGATTAATCTGATTAATTGTTTCATTTCTAATATGTACACAGTACTTAATGGTTGTTATGGAAACTTGGTGACTCCAAGATGGTAATCTTTGCTTCAGACACATATTCAACCCTGTGGCAAAAAATTATTAATACTTTTAATCGTTTCATATTTAAATGGCAGGAAAATAGAAGGACATGATTAACATAATAGACATTCCATGTAATTATATTCAATTAAAAGAAATAGAATATGACCAATGATAAATGATTATGACTGTTAAAGAAGGGATGTTGTTGTAACTGATGGTTTTGTTTAAAGCTCTATTTCCTTAACATGGGTTAAGAAAATTAAATCACTCTCCTGAATATTTATTAGGGCTGCAACTAACCATTATTTTGCTAATTGATTAATCTGTTGATTATTTTATCTATTAATTGATTAGGAATCGGATATTCAAAGGTTCCTTAAAAAAACTTTTAAAAAAGTAAACCAGGTGAAACTAAAACTGTTCCACTCTAGGAGTTCTGGATAGAGCATATTGATGGACAAAAAATATTTGTTTTTATCTTAAATGCAAACTTTTTATATATTATTTTAAGATTTTGGTATAATTACTGCTCTAAGTGGGTCGATCTGTCAGCTAAAGGCATGTTTTACAGTTTCTATACTCTAGTTAATGATTAATCAAATAGTAAATTAGTTGAAGATTATTTCAATAATCGATTTATCACGATTAATCTAATTAATTGTTTCAGCCCTAATATTTATATTATGTTGAATTTATCATGCTGCTGTGCTTAATGTGACTGTAAGATTCCGGAGCTTATAGATGGTTCATCTCAGACTACACACAGTCATCCTCCTTATAAACCAAAGTATTACCAGATGCACCTTTCCTCTTTTTTCTTTATTTTCTAAATGGAATTTTAGGTTCTCGAAGACTGATAGTGTTTAATAGATTATTAGTACGTATTATATATTTATTAATCTGTTTTCAACTTTTTTTTCAAATGATGTTAGAGCATGGTGAGTGAAGAAGATGACGACGAGGATGAGGAGGAAGGGAAGGCAGCTGTGCCGGCAGATGAGAAGAACAAGAACAACAAACCTGGTTTAAATGGTCTCTTCTTTTCTCCTATCATCTCCTATTTTAGTTTAACTCATTCAAAGCTGTTAACATCTTCACTTTGTTGCAGATGTAATGGTCTCACGTCGAGCCGACAGAGAGAGGATTCCTGTCAGATATTGCACTTTGGGCACCAGGGACGCAGCCAGGTACTGCATGCCTTACAGTGGTATTTCTACTTTTTTTTTTTTTTTTTTGGAGGATTATAATGTGATTAACTCTTTGCATTGCCCTCAGAGATCCACACACGCTGGTGGAGCTGTCAGCGTTTTCAGCCATCAACAGGTTCCAACCGTTCAATGTAGCCGTCTCTAGTAATGTTCTGCTGCTAATGGTGAGTGTTGAGGCGCTTAGAAAAAGTGTAGCGGAAAACTGGTGAAAAGCTTACTGACAAATGGGGATTTTTTTTTAAAGGACTTTCACTGTCATCTGACCTCCAGTGAGGTGGTGGGCTACCTTGGAGGGCGATGGGACACAAACACACAATGTTAGTATGATGTTATAGAAAGTGTTTGGAATAAATAGATGATTAAACTTCCTCTTTATTACCTTAATAAACATCTCTGTGTTTTAGTGCTGACAGTTCTAAGGGCTTTCCCGTGTCGGACCAGGCTGGCTGACAGAGATACGGCCTCCGCTGTTGAAGAGGAGGTAAAACCTGGATGTGGAGCTTATCGGCATTACTTTTAACAAACATCAGAACACACTGGAATGTAAACACAGCTCCTGTCTCTTTAAATATCAGTTAAGTTCAGTTTTTGTCCAAATATGGGAAAATTAACCAAACAGAAAAATAGAAAAACTTTGAAAACTTTTTTCAAGGCGCAGCTAGAATTCACATTTTGTACAAATAGGTCAGCTCAGAGTTAGCAGCCTTACTGTGGAGGACCCAACCTACCAAGAATAAAAGATTCCTTGTGTTATAACTTTAAAATCATTATTTATATGCAGTTTGCTGTATATTGACTACATTTACCAGGTTTCATAAGGTTAATTCCACCTCGAGTTTCCCTGCAATATGTTTTGTCTGTTTAGAGTTGGAAAATAGTCCATCTGCAGTATATGCTTTTATTTTGAAGGCACCATGAAAACCAGCACACCTTTGTGTCTTGTAAGCTAATGTGTTTTCCGGGTTAGACAGTAAAAACAGCACAATAAAGTTACCCAACGAACTGCACTACCTGCTGCTAACTGTACTACTCTAACTCCACTGCCAAATCTCTAACCCTGCTAAGTTGATTAGCAAGAACACATTATAAGTTAGTCACAGATACTAGCTCTATACAGCCAGGAGAAAAGCTGCAACAGTGATGCTGTGCCAAAGCCCCCCCTCGGTTTTTACATTTAGAGCTGCACATGAAGGAAGAAGAGGAAGTCGGAAAATTATTAGTGGAGGAAAGGAGAGGCGGGAATAAACGACTTCAGAAATATCTGTTTGGTGAGAAAATACTACAGGGATATGCATGATTAGAAAGTAGATCAGTTATTAAAGATAAGAAACAAACTAAAATAATAGGAAAATAATATAAAGGGGTCGAAAAACATGTTTTAAACATATTTGGGTGGTCAAAAAAATCAGAAAGTTTAAAACAGCAATGCATTTACTTCTTATAAATAAGTACATGAAAAATACAAAGAAAACTATTATTGTAAAAGTAAAAGAGCAGATATAAAATAGAACAGTTAAAATACATTCAAATTGAAATAATTAATCAATTTTTAAATATTTTTTAGTATCTCTAATTTCCATCATTTTGTTGCATTTAAAAGCACATTAATTTAAATTTAATGCTATTTCTTTGACAATTAATTATATTTCAGGATTTTTTTAATGTATTTTTAAATATGGCAGAATTGGTCCTCCATACTTTACTGGAGTTGTGTGGTTCGTAAATGTTTTGTTCAAATAGAAGAATGAATTGCGTAAACAAGCTGAATTGAATCAGTTCATGAACAGCAGTTTTTTTTTTCCTGTTCCTGTCATCAAAGCTGAAGTTTAAATATAAAGGTTTATTTTCTCTTTTGTTTTCAGATATGTCAGAACCTGTTTATGCGGGGGTTATCGTTAGTGGGCTGGTACCACAGCCACCCCCGAGGTCCGGCCTTGCCGTCGCTGCAGGACATCGACTCCCAAATGGATCACCAGCTGAGGCTGCAGGGCTCCAACAATGGCTTCCAGCCCTGTCTGGGCATCATCTGTGGTTAGTAACTGCTTTTTAGAAACACCAGTGTTAGGATAATTATCATTTAAGATGAAAGTTTATTACACCTTTGTATTGGCTGCCTGTTGGATGTCAGAACTGATGTTTTAATCTAATTAGTGTAATAAACATGGTGTTATAAACTCACACATGTTCAATGATAATTATCTTAACACTAGTTTGATTGTAATATTACAAAGTTGTTGCTCTGATTTAAGGAGAAACTAAATGTAGTACTTAGCATACTTCTTACCTGATCTGAGTGTTGAATCTGGTAAATAAGGGGGGAAAACAACAACTGTGCACTAACACTTTACTCGTGACAAAAACAAAGCTGACTTTGTCAGAGGTGGTGAATCCAGGTTCAGTAGGAACTCTGCCTAGTTTCCTTTCATCCTGTTCACTGAACCAGATCACCAGTGACTGGTTCGATCTGAATTCAGCAAATCTGTAAGGACCCTTAAGCCAAAGTGTGTCAGTGGAGGCTGCATGCTTCCTATCATAGGAATCTTGTGACATTCCTATCTTGAGCTTAGGAGCTTTAAGAAAACCCACAATCCTTTGCCTGACATGATGTACAGACACAGCCAACCTCACAGAATTGAACAAAAACACACAATACACACGTTCATATTCGTATAACTTTTATGTCTTGCAGTTTATGTCCAACAGGCTGTAGTCCCAATTATACAACCACTGTCCGTGTGATGATGTTTTAAAGGCTGAAGGCTGTCTAGATTTATAGTTTTTCTTATCATTGACCCCATTGATGTATTGAATCAGCCCCTGTTGTGTTGTGGTGCTTGAGACTCTCTGGACCAGGACTATCTACTCCTTGACTTTGCAAATATAATCATTATTATAATAATTATCAGATTTTAATCCACCACACTGAGTCACTGGTGAGAAATCCGCCTGAAAAAAATATGACTTTAGTGGTATTATCTCTCGTACTCCTTACAGTTCTTTAAAAACTAAACACTACTAAGAAACTTGGAATCTATACTTGATTGTTTTAAGAAATTCTGATTAGTAATCTATTACTTTGTGTTTCCCTGGGGTATTAAGGGTTGCTTCTATTAGAAAACTAGCTATTGGTCACTATGTGACCAATGATCTTACAGCAGGTTGATGAACCAACCTTATGACCACGTGAACACAGAAGCCAAAAAGCTGTCCATTTCCCTCTGTGATGCAGGCTTCGTGAAAAGTGTTGGAAAACAAAATTGAGAAAAGGGAGTCTTAGACAATAAAAACAGAAGCCTTACTGAGTATGCCACTGGACGTTTCCGTGAGGCGCGTATAAAGGTTTACTTTATTTGGGGGAGGAGCCAATATACATGACGTCCTTAGCCTCGCTACCGCCATACCACTTGGTCGCCTCGGGACGTGGTACAGCTCAGAACTTCAGCAGGCATTTAAACAGCCTCCATATTTAGTGATGCGGGAGAGTTGCTGTCAGTTGGATAGAGTTTGGATAGATCGGTTGGAAAAACATCCACTCTAGTTGGTTAAAAACATTTTGGTTAGATTTAACATGTAATGATCAAAATCTGAGCAAGCCACTAGTTTCAGTCATAACATTGGTATTAAAAAGTATTGCTTTCTACAGAGCTGTCACCTTGCTAGTGGCATCAGTAGTAAGACATGGATTACCACAGGCCAGTGGCGGCCGGCCCATAGGGGGCGCTGGGGCACCGCCCCCCCTGATAAGAAGAGAGAAACGTAAAATATATTTTTAGAAATTAACTCATAAATGTCAGTTTTACTCTATAGACTGTGTACCTATAAGCAAAACAAATTATATAAACTACATTTCCCTATCTACTGTCATTCATTTGTGGATTTCCACAGACAGACTCCTACATTCTCTGTTCTGGGGGCGCTGATCAGACTGACCCACATTTGCAAAGAATCTGTCAATCATGTACTATTGCTAGGTGAATTTAATGGCCAATCAGCGTCTCGGAACTTTATGGTCTTGGGGCGCTGAAAATACTGCGCTTTAACAGGCTTCTGAACCCAAGCGCAGGTGCAGACAATTAGAGGGAAGATGGCGAATGTAACGACCGAGATGCAGCTTCCACCAAATTCGGTGAGATCCTTATTTATCTACCCGTTTGCCAGAAGAACATCCCTGTTGTAGGATATGAACATTTCATGTCATGGTTATTGTGACTGTGACGAATCCACCTCGTCGCTTAAAGCTACAGTGTGTAATTTTCAGCGACATCTAGCGGTCAGACTACAGACCGCAGCAACATGAACATCTCCCCCCCACCGCTTCTCCCCCCCAACAGTACGGCGAGCGTTACGGGACAAAATTTCTTCTACGACGTCCACATCACCTACCCTCTCAAGTGATGAGGTTTGTTTACATAGATAATTTTACAGATAGTATTTCATTAGTCTGTGTAGGGTATAGATTTCATGTAGACTTAAGATAATAAATATACCCGTTATTTTTTCTACATCGTTGTGACGTCTTGGTGAGCTGCTTTGCATGGTGATATAAACAGACGAAGTAATTGTAGTCATTAGTTTAACAGCGAGATTGTGTTCGCTGGAAGAATATATATCCCCCGTTTACAGAGTCCAAGTCATTTTGGTGGCACGGGGGTTACAACGCGAGGGAGAGGGAGAGGACGAGGGCGAAGGCAGGGAGGCCGTGCAGCTAGGGCCAGGCGAGAGAGGGGAGCCAGCGGGGTGAGAGCAGAGGAGGAAAGGCTTGAAGATCTCCAAAGGAGCCGGAGAGAAGTAACCGAGGTATATATCCAGAAAATTATTTTACAGAAAATTACTGAATCATTACCTGTGAAACGTCAGGGACGTTGCTGAATAAGTATACTGGAGAGTAACAGCATCATCACGCAGCATGTTATTGTTTTAGACAGGTCTGAGCATCCTGTACTCCAAAAACTGCAGTGATATTAGACAATTGTGTGTGTAGGATTAATTACCTGTCCAAGAGAAAACTGGCAACTTGAGCGTCACTTTGAAAACCTTTTTCCTCCATCAGTGACTTCCATCGTGTAAATGCCGTGCCAATGTTGATCCGTGTTTTTTGCCGTTTCTTGTCACGCTTGCGTTTATTCTCGTCGTGTTTCCGCTTCTTAGATGACGGGGGTTCGGTGTCCGCCGCTTTTCGTTGTGATACAGAGTAGGCATGATCCTCCATTCGTCTGATGTTTGGCCACACAGTGCCAAACAGTTTGCAAAGTCACTCACGCCTGCCGCCTTGTTCACCTTTCTTGTTACTGAGGCGCAGTATACCTGCTTCTTCTTCTTCTTTGGTTTCAGGCAGACTAAACGCTTCTCAGGCATAATACTGCCATCTACTGTTCAGTACCGTCTCAGTTAATCTCTCTCAACTTGCCGTAGTTATTTTTGAGCGTCATGGGAGATCTCGCAATCGCTAGTTTGTTGCCTCTGCGCTTGCCGTAGCGCAAAGATGTCAGCCTCCATGGCTGCGAGACCCGCTCCTATGTAATTATAAATAACGAATTCTAAGGCAACGCAAATATTATGGTTAAAAGGCTGAGCTCATAGGTGATGATAAATAACATAGTTATGTATAATATATTAAATTTCTGACTTTATATGCCTGTAATTATTACACACTGTAGCTTTAAAACAACCTCTCTAACTTTGCGCGCCACACACACATTCCTGTTATACTGTGCTTGTGAGGACCAATACACTCGCGCTGAGCCCAGTAGCTCCATGAACTTAAAACACACAAGCTGTTCCTGGTTACCTGCTGGCGTATTGAGGGTGCACACTTAATATTTCAGTGGGGTTAGCCGTGTGTGTGTGTGTGTGTGTGTGTGGGTGTGTGGGTGTGTGTGTGTGTGTGTGTGTGTGCTACGGGGACTTGTCATCTTCAGTCTGGCTGCGTCTTTGCTGGGTTCAAACCCAGTTTGGTGTAATTGAATAAGTCAATGAATCTGTGTAAAAGAATTAAGTTGTAAAAATTATTTGTTTTTGTACATCAATTGTTTGTGGAGGTAATATATGGACAAAACTGATTCATGAGAAGAAATCAGAAATAAGAGAGCCTGAGGGTAGGGGCTTAAACTATTTAATGAGGGCTGTGGGAAGAAAAGCGGCAATTTTTGTTTTCTGTTTCTTTGTTACATTGCTGGTAACTGGAGGGAGGCTGAGGCCCAGAGTATCTTGTATGTTTAGTTTCTTTTGCACCCTGTTTTGAGTTTTTGAGCACAATAAATCACCAACACCGGTAACCCGACTGAGCCTGGATTCTTGCAGGCCAAAGAACCCCGTCACAGTGACCCAAATCATCACTGTTAGTTATTATATAGTAAATTAAATCATTACTGTTAAATTGTATGTATTGTCCAATTGTTTATTTGAATTCTTATTCCGGATTAGTTGGAGACATACACTAGGCTATATCAGCCCCACCAAAAATATTTTTCACCAGCCGCCACTGCCACAGGCTACAGGCTAAAAGTATATATTTTATGTTTTATACATTTTGATGGGTCAATTATAAGAAGGTGCGGCTTTTCTATGGATTTTTCCAAACTCCCAGGGGGTGAAGTCAAAGTTCTAAATCAAAGAATAAGGGGATTATTTTCATTTAGCACAAGATGCTAGCAACAGGCACGATGGAGAACAAATGTCCCAAATGAAGACATCAAAACATATTAAAGCTGCTGAACCAATGAAGAGGCTGGGCTCAGCTCCTGCAGAGCTGAAATAAAGAGCTGACAAAGCCCCATCTTTCAGTAGAAGCTCTTACTGCTCCGAGCCAACAAGCTAACAGCAGCTAGCATTGTTCTTCTCCCCTAATCCTGGGGCTAGATGTAGAAATCCCCCTACAGGCTTGGTGGGAGACAGTTCAGTAGATATCATCAGTTTATAGCCAGTTGCTGCTTATATATGTACATTTCCAAAGGATTCTTTACCTACAAGAATAGTTAAATAAGCAAACAAGGGTAAACACTGGTTAAGCTTTCTTACGTTTTGTGACAACTTAACAAAGCTAAAAAACTCAGAAGCCACACAGGGGCTAATGAAGCTTAGATGACATAATGTTGGCATCAACATTGTCCAATCTGGCAACCAACTGGCAAACAGTTTTAAGGAGAGTGGGCCAGTGCTATAGCGCCACTTACTGGTCAGAAGGAGCTATTTCCTCAAATGTGAGAGAATAGCAGGAAACTTGGAAATGTCCTATGATGAGTATAATTATTGGGTGAAATCCATCTGGTATTAGAGACTAACCACTGTGAGACAGACTTCCTGTTATGTCTGGTGATTAATACAAAGGAGGGAGAGACACTTCATTCTAGCATAAACAGTAATCAATGCCACATTTATTTTTCTTAATATGTAATTTTGGAAACTTGACCACTTTTTATTGGTGCGTTTCAGGTCCATACTACCATGGAAACCAAGGTGTGGCATCTACAATAACACCGTTCTGGGTCGTACCACCACCTGAGGTTGGAAAAAAACTTTCACTTCTCAGCTTCTTGTTTTGTGGTTTGCCATGTGAGCCTTACTACAGAAGCTGAGAGCGGTCGTGTCCCTTGGATACTTTTTACACTGTGGTTTTCTTGAGAAAAACGAGTTAATTTTCTCATTATCTTAAGATAACAAAAGCCGTTTTCTCGTCATAACGAGATGATTGGTGTATGTTAAAACTGATTACATCCTTCAATATCACAACAGCGGGAGATGATTTATAAGTCATGTCAGCCAATGTGAAATTCTTTAAATAATCCTGTGTTTAACTTTTAGGTAACGAGACAACGTTGTTGGTTTGATGATTTGCTTCCATTTCTGATTCATAAGCAATTAGACCTATGCCTCCTGCACCTTAGCATCTGGTGTTACGCCTGTAACAGGTATGAGATGCATTAACCCCCAAAATGTCCAGATTAAAGTTTTTCATTAAAAAAGCAGGGTTGTTTCTACTGTAACCTACTCAATCCAATTATCCACCATGATGACCTGACAATGAAAAAAAAATAGGAAACTGAAAAACGTATTATTTGTGCACAAGCGGTACCCCCGACTGCACACTATGGTTACCGTAAGCATAATGGACTGGAAATCCAGGGCTGTTGGCCAGCCTCATTCATTACTCATACAGGTTAATCATCTCGTTATCTCAAGAAATCAATATCTGTTTCCTCCCGGTAATGAGATAATTATCTTATTATCTCGAGAAAACAATGAATGGTTTAACCGTGATAATGAGATAGTTATGTCATTATCTTGCGAAAGCAAAGGAAAAAAAAGTCAAGTATGACCACTCTCGGCTTCTGTACCTTACTATGTTTCATCTCTGAAATTAGAAACATTTGTTCTCGTGTTTCTCATCATGGTCCCCCCCCGCCCCTATCTACAGCAACGGCCTAATGACTACGGCATCCCTGTGGCGGTGGAAGTCACTTATGTTCAGGACAATTTTCTCACAAGTGATGTTCTCAATGAGATGGTACTGATTATGCAGACTCATGAAATTAAAGCCAAACCCCTAAAGGTAGAGCAAGGCAGGACTAAAGACATTCATATTTCTTCTACAGATGCTGCTGGTCGATTATTACAGGACGGCACCCGATCTGGTCCAGTTTAACCAGTATTGGTGTCCTGAGACGACCATGATGGACAAGATAAAGGTAGGACACATGTAGGTCAAAGGCTCTGTGTCAAAGCACCGTATGCATTAAATAACGTTTCTGTCTCTGCAGGGCTCTCTAAGCTGCCATGCCCCCAAAGACCAGGCCTACTCTCAGATCTTGGAACATGTCTACAGCCAACTTAGCACAACGCACTGAGATCCGCCCTGCACGTGTGACGTGACCTCCAACTGACTCGAGTCGTTCCATTTTGAACAGCTTAACAGACCTGAATGGTCTGACGCTCGTTAAATTCTGCTTGAAAATACAAAGATAGATGCCCTGAATGGTCTCCTGCTTGAGTGTTAATATCCATATAGCATTAAAAACAGACTTTCAGAGCTGGACAGGCACTAGATATGTGAAAGTAGTCGCTTTTTGTAGTTGTACTGTACTTTATGAGAAGAGACATACAAATCTAACAAAACACAATCCCATAAAAAAGAAATCAGATTTAACTGGACACTGTATGGACAGTGAAAGACCTGCTGCTTTTAAAAACATGGACCTATATGCTTCCATATTAACAGATATGGATGATTAACAGTAATAAATGTCTCGCCTTTATAGACTCAGTCAGTGGGGATAGTAGTTGTGGGTAAGCAGTCAATAGTAGTATAAAACATCCATCAGCTATGTATGCAAAATTATGTGTTTGATCCAAACGATACTCTCCAACAGATCCAGTTTTGGCTCCTGAGGTCATATTAAGGAGTTGGTTGTGGAGTGCTTCCTCTAGTTCAACAAAACAGGTGTGTGTTTGTGTGTTAGGTGCGTTGTGTTGTGAACATGCCCATCTGCTGTCCTTTTGTTAGTTTGAGTGAAATATGGGCACTCTTTAAGACAGGTATTTGCTTCCTCTCAAACTGTTCTGTATTTATTACTAACTGTTGACTGTGTGGTTTATATGTGTGCAGACAGAGCTATGCCTTAAGCCTGCTGATTGGTGAATCACTAAGTATTAAAATATATACACTGGAACCATTTAAATATGATCTATTGTTTAATTGTTTTGCCGCATTATAGCCAAAGAGCTTGAATGTTTATACAGTTTTGTATGGGTTTGACCAACATAAAGCAGCGCATTAAAGAGTTGAGAGAAAAGAGTAAACAGTTTTCTTCTTTTTTGACCCCGATTACTCTGATTCCACCAAGGGTAAAACCAAGGATAAGTAATTGGCTTTAAAAAATCCCCCCACCGATAGCTGAAATTCAGCTTCTTTGTGAAGACCATGGAGGTTTATAACAAAACATTAGTCAATAAATAATATCTTAAAGACAAAAGATCAAAACATACAGGCCAAGGAGTGCTGTAATTTTAACCCATATGGTTTAAGGAACATCACAGACCTGAATGATGCTCTTCCCTGAAACATTTTTGCAGCATCATGCTATGGGTATGCATAGACATGAACGAAAGGAAAGTTAGGCAACGTTGAAGCAAATAGAAATTAAAGTAAAAAACCTGGATATGCTTGAATAAAACCTGTAAAGAGATATTAAAACAGGAGGTGGACAGAATAGTGTATTTATAGAAAATGTACTATACTTTTATGGCTATTCACATTCAAGGTAGTGAGCTTTATTGCTGCACTGTTGCTCACTGTCAGAAGAAAAGCTGCTATACACCAGCACCACATGGATGAAGTGTCTTGTCCAAGGAGTCCTGCATCCTAACACACTGTTAGATATCTTAGGTTTAAAGTCTTTACCTAAAGGTATTAACTCCACCATTGGAAATACATTCAATAAAAGTATTAACTTTGGGGATTCAGAATATTTTTCCAGCCATGTGTTTTTTTAAATGTAAAAAAAACACACAAAAAAATCCATCTTCCTAGTTGAAAGTGCAAACCTCTTTAAATCAAAACCGATTTGAAAAAAGGACTATTTGCAGTTGACTTCAAACACAAAACAGCATTTTATTTTTGTTTGTCCTTTATTTAATGTAAGAAGTTGGTAAACAGGAAATGAGAAGGAAGCACAAACAAATGTGATGATAAAAAAAAAATATATTGCAGTTAAATTCTTTATGCATAACAAACAGTAAATGAAATCTAAGATACATAGGTACAATGAGTAACATAGGTCTACATGCAGAGATTATGTGAAATGTTTTAAGGTCTTATATAAAAAAATAACACTATAGAAATTCATAGCAATTTATTGCAGTTTAAGGAGAATGTAAGACTGGTTAAACAAACACATAGCCCTTTAAGGAAAGGTATGACTTTAAAACCAACAATGATATGAATCTAAATAGAAAGAACGCAGTTCCCATGGATCTTCTGATGAGATCTTTGAGCAGTCTGAACATGTCCAGGAAACTGTCTGTAGTGTCATCCATGTGAAGAAATAGACACATGCATGTAAAAACACATAAAAGTGCCAACGGGTAGAAATAAAAACAATATCTATAGAGAATTTGACTAAACTAGTTAATTTTGGTTGTTCTTCAGTCCCTCTTAATTTCCAAAGGCACTAAAACATGCATGCCTGACTCTTGACTAATGTTATCATCAAAGCACCTTTTACGCCCTTTAGTTTTGAAATATATACAAACATTGAAATGTATCATGGTCAGAGATGTAAACGTATCGGATCATGACCACAGAAAGATGGAAGAGTCAGCAGGCAAAATGGAGTGGTGGACAACAGACGGAAGGATGGAAATAAAACAAGACCTCTGTGAATGATTATAAAGCACAAACATTCACAAATATAAACACCAAAAACAACCTTCACAATCTGAAGGTTAATTCCTGGTAACAATTGCAGCCTTTGCTTATCCAAATGGAAAACAGTTTTTGACCAATCGTGCATCCCTTGATGTTTTCCCCGTTTAAACTTTCCTCCTTCTCTCACTCATAGCTGTGAAGTTCGATGAAGACTGTGGATTTGGACGGTTCAGAACCAGAAAGCCAGCTCTGTCTGAACAGTCAGCCTGAGACAATAACACATCTGTCAGGTCAGATTCATGGTTAAGGTATAGAATTACAGGTCCAGACTGATCAGGTTCACATTCTCTGAGACATAAAGACGGATAGTAAAAGTAGGACAGTTAGTGGTGAATATAAAAGGCTAACCCGCTGCCGGCAGCGTCAGCTATTCAGGCACAGCATGAATTCAAATGGTGCCGAGGACAGGGCTCAGAAAAAAAGGTTTCAAAAAAGGAAAACATGCTAAAATACGGAAGTCGAAACCTACAGGAATTTATGGCTGTGTTATAGGGTCATTAGCGGACAAACAGACACTAAATGTTTCCATTGCATTTTACAGTCTTTTTGGCTCTGCCTCCTAAATTAAACACACTGAAGAAACTGTGCAACCACGGCATTTTCCTTTGGGTCTGTGTAGAACGGCAGAGTATGTCTGTGTTAAAGGAATAGTACACCCAAAACATGATTAGCCTTCATTTTCTACTCACCTCCATGCTGAACAACACTCTGGAGTACTTTTTTGATATCTCAAATGCATCTGGAGATCTGGGAGACTTCTTGCTGTCTGCTGACATTCAAATAATGGAGGTCTATGGCGCCCGAGACAGAAAGGTCCACAAAAGTCCACAAAAACTTGTCAATATTCCTCCATACTGCTCGTCCAATGTAATCCAAGTGTCCTGAGTGGGTAGCATCCAGAATTTACTCGAAACGAAGTCATTTAGAACGTTTTAGAGCCTAAACAGTAGTGTATAGGATTTCCTAATAGCGCCCCCATGCGCGCTCACGATTCTACGGAAGCCGGCAGACCAAACCAGCGCATTCAGCTCGGCAAAGAACTCATGCTCTTCCTCAACACTGAAGTCCTCAGACATTTTTCTTTCGTTGTTTCTTTCTTTGCACAGGTAAACAGCACATTTCTTCTTCTACGCTTGCATTATCGGCAGACCAGACGCTGAATGCGCACTTCCTTCCGGTTTGGTCTGCCGGCTTCCGTAGAATCGTGAGCGCGCATGGGGGCGCTATTAGGAAATCCTATACACTACTGTTTATGCTCTAAAAACATTCTAAATGACTTCGTTTCGAGTAAATTCTGGATGCTACCCACTCAGGACACTTGGAATACATTGGACGAGCAGTATGGAGGAATATTGACACGTTTTTGTGGACTTTTATGGACCTTTCTGTCTCGGGCGCCATGGACCTCCATTATTTGAATGTCAGCAGACAGCAAGAAGCCTCCCAGATCTCCAGATGCATTTGAGATATCAAAAAAGTACTCCAGAGTGTTGTTCAGCATGGAGGTGAGTAGAAAATGAAGGCTAATCATGTTTTGGGTGTACTATTCCTTTAATCTCATTTCACCACCGATGCTCAGTTATGTTTCCACAATTCCTGAAAACTGAAGGTATAAGGACAGAAACACTGAAAGTAAAGGTAGATCCTGTCCAATCTGTTGGCTGCTGATGCAGTCATGACCACACAGCCACGAGACAAAAACAAACAAACTTTGAAACAGTCAAAATTAGATAATTTGCCAATATAAAATTATTTTTGAAATACAACAATATTTATCCATGTTTCATTTCAATTTCATGGAGGTGAAGTAATCCCTCATCTTGCCAGAAGGTGGCATCAAGGTATACGTACACTGCAGAGCTCTGGTGGAATTTTCAGTTAAGTTCACATGAAATTCACTGAGATCTGAGGCGATATCTTCAACCTACAACAGCACTACTCTAATTAACGTTAGATCGATCACCTACCCGACTCAAAAAGAGACTGCAATTACAAAAAAAACCCACAAGGATCTGTGTGTCGACCTGTTAAGAAGACTTAAAACCTTGTCACCTATTTGTGATGAAAAATGTATTGCTCATATATTGCCAACAGTTAGTCCCCACAGAATTATTCCTACTGTCCCATGAAGGATTAAGATGTTTTGTCACAGTCCTAGTCTGGATGGGTTTTGTTTTTCTGAAGAAAAAAAAGTTGTCTTCTGGTTTGATATCATATCCAGATCTTGTGTTTACAAAAAGTGCTTGCTTCTGGTGATGACGATGAAGCTCAAAGTGAAATTGAAACCTTTGTAGACCGCCTCATATCTTCACTTTTCTTCTTCACCACAATGTTTCCGCCTCTAAATTCCTTCCAGCGCTCTCTTTGTTTTAGTGTGGCAATGGAACAAGGACCTCGACGTAGTTGAGGGGGAAGAATCCTGACTGGCCGTTCAGCATGCCCTCGTACCAGTTTTCATCGATTTGGTTGGTCAGGATGATGATGTCGCCTTCGTGGAAGCCCAGCTCCCCCTCATTCTCTGGCTCAAAGTCATACAGGGCCTTGCAGCTGGGCTGCTCTGGGGCTGATGAGAACAAGAAAAATAGAAAGATAAGAGAAAAAAAAATAACCAAGTTCCAAATGTATTAAACATTTCCTGTTGAATAAAAAACAGGTCAGATCTTTAGCTTAAAATTTGGATGTTAGTGTGACACTGATGCAGATTTGAGACAAGTGAAGGAAATCTGGTAGGAAGATCATTTCATGTAAACATTCCTGAAAACCACAATCCTGTAGGACTGCCCACGTTCTTCACTTTGTTTCTGTCTCTGTGACCTCATGCGGATCAGCAGTGATTTACACACAGACAAACTAGGCTTTTTAGCAGCCAAACAATTTCTCATTGTATCAAGTTCACCCAACACACTGCTGGGTAGGCTAGAGACAGGGAGAGCGTTTGGATTTACTCAATACACTATCAGTTCACAGGGGCAGATAAATAACACTAACTACAAGGGAACACAGTTCCTCTTAGGATGGTGCTAACACACATTTACAGATAGCAACATGGATTACACTGTAACAGGAATCTTAGCTAAGATTTTTTAAAAGGCTACGAGTTAAACATCACTAAGAGTGAGATCTACTTGGAATTCATGAATGCATCTATAAACACCCATGATGAAAAAAATTCCTATTTTTCTGCTCCAGAACTGGTGATAGCTGAGTAGCTAAAGTTGTCACATTTAGCATGACCATATAAGAAGCCCTCATCAATGTGACACAGGGGATGCGATTCACCATGACCACAGCAGGAAAGAGGCCTCCAACAGCTCAATTTGTAGTCACACCCAGGTTATAGGGAATTAGAAGGAATTGGACTGAATCCTTCATTGGATGTCTGATTTTATTCATCAGCAATCACTTTCTTGCGTTGTTAATAAGTAGGTGCCTGTGGTCATCGAATCACTTTGGACAGTAACCCCCACAGTGCAGAAGTGGCTCAAACTGAGGCTGACACCTGGAAGCATCTTAGTCATCTCAGTCCAGAAAAGCTAAGTCCTACAGACAGCTAAGATACTAAGAAGGACCCTGAAGCTTCCAGGCCTGTTTGAGATGATGACATCTTAAAATGTACTTTGTTTTGAAAAACCAAAACCACCAGCTCCTGTCTGTCTTGCTTTGAAGCTTGCGCATGTATGAAACTAACTGATGGCTTAGTGATGTCAATTAGGGCGACTTTTCAGACCCCTTGAGGAACTATTTTTTGTAGAAAAAAAGTGATTTTGAGACAAATCTACTGACTTCTCTGTTTTTGGACAGCTAAGCAACTACACGTGACATCATCAATCCTTCTATTATTGTTGTCAAATTGTTGTCTCACAGGCAGCCGCCCCGTCCTGAAACCCCTGCATGCGGTCAGAGCAAAGGAGCAGAGGAGAGCACCTGCTCCATTTTTCTAGTTAACGAGTAACGAATGTTCAAAGCTGGCAATGATTTCACTGTGGATCACAAAGCGGGATATAAATATTGTTTTTAATTAAGTCTCTTTTTGTTCCCCGTAAACTCTTGCACTAAATTAATCACCTTATTATTACACAGCTAATGCGTGCACCTCAGATAACTGTCTTTTTGGTCAAATTAGATGTATGCAGAGTGGATTCAGGCAATTCATAAAAATATACACATTATTCAGTATAGAAACGTTAATGTATGCTGCATACATCAATATTTTAATGGCAGTGATGTAGTAAATAATTTTAGTTTTGATTCAGAAATTCATGACCACTTATTTCCTCCCTCTCATTTCCAATCACCTTGGTTAAAAAAAGGAAAACCCTTTTTTTGTTTTAGACTTTAAAAGTAACCCACATTTTTAAACATAATTTCTTGTATTTTAACCAATATCCCCCTCCCTGATTGAATAGCTTCCCCATCTCAGCTACTAAAAGTCAATAAGGGATATAGGTATTGGGGATGGTTACGACATTACAACTGCCCAAATATAGTGATAACTAAATACCTCACACTTTAAATACAACTTCCTTCCTAATATTATAATACTGCACACCCTGATGTTTAAAATTGATATATTATTAATCTCTTACAGAATAGATGATACTGTTTCAAATGGAAAGGTTCTGTGAGGAAAGGTTTACTGGTGGTTGCTAGCCTATGCAAATAGATGCAATAATATAGAAATAATCACCTACATTCAAGACTACTTGAAAGAGGTTTAACTTGGAGGTAGAATTTTTCTATGCAAGCATGCTGCAGAGAGAGAAAACTGCTGGCTCAGCAGGGCCTTCTTTGCTGTGTTGACACCATTTTTTTGCACATATTTCGAGAGGTAAAATTTGCATTGAACAAAAAAGTAATAACAGGGGTGATAATTACTTTGGTGAGAATTCTGTGCCTTGCACTTAAAAGAGAGGAGTTAAAATGGCAAAGTGAGGTTTTCTTTTTAACTCTTTTTTTTGTCACTAGTGAATTTTTCGAAAGTAGGCTGACAGGAAATGTGTGGGGGTGGGGGGGTCGCTATGCAGCAAAGGAAAGGTCAACAGGCTAGGACTCAAACTTGTGAAGGCAGCATTAACATACACTCTGTATATGGGCAACATGCTTTATCCCTGCATAAGTAAAATAGCTTTATATTAGTTTTGGTCCTCCCCTTAAAATGAGCAGATTGCATGTTGAACAGGCAGTTTCCTAGGTGACCATAAAAGAAAGAGGAGTTTCTAAGCCATGGAGATCGAGGTAATAATGATAGTAAAAAAAAATAATCATAACACTAAATTACAATTAAAGCGCATCTCAAATAGCCCACCTTAAAGGCTACCGACAAAAGCAAAGAAAAACATAACCTTTCTTTGGGCAACTCAATATTTTATTAAATTCCTTACTGTCAAAATATATTTACATGCACACAGCATCTCTCTCCATCCTCTGGCTTTGCACTAAGGTTGGGTGATATGGCTTAAAAATCGAACCCTGCCAAATCAGATAATTTTTTTCCTCATTTAGGTTTTATAATAGAAACGACACATGGCATGTATTACTTTGAAAACATTTTTTTTTATTTTAATCCTCCCCTATGGAGGGTAACCTCAATTTTTTCAAAATAATAATGTGTTAAAGAAAACAATGAAAAAAACAAACAAACAAAAACACTGAATGTTTGTAGCCAGTATTTTATACGTAAACATCTAAGAAAAAAAAATTATGAAACTATGTCACTTTGAGTTGTGGAGGCCCAAGAAATGGATAGGTGAAAAACATTATACATGACTCAATAATTAAATCATACATACATCTTCAAAAGGATAGATTAATAGCCCAGCCTTACTTTGTACCACAGCTTCCCTTATGGCCACAATAACCACAGATAATTCTGGATGTCATGTTGCACCCAACTTTCACAATTACTAGAAAAGACAATAAAACTATTGTCACAGTTTAGTTTCTGATTTGGATGTGGTAAATAATTTGTTTACCCTCAACCCATGAATCTCTGTTATTGGGTCATTAGAATATGACCTGCATATTGATGAAAGCAGAGAAAAAATGAATAGTTTGCACATGCTGTCTGTTGAATTGCAAATGCAAATCAATTCCCCCCACTTTAAAGCTCTGCCCTGTGTGTACAAATATGTTTGGATCCGTTTTGAAGGTGCAGTAGGAGATATTTTCTGACGCATTCTTGACCATGTGGCTTAAAGTTCTCCCCACAGCTGCTTAGCAAGCAGTGAAATAGGAGGTCTGGAAGTTAAACTAAAATAAATGGTCCCCACTACAGTGAGAAATCAATGAATAACCCCAACCAATCACAAAGGACGGTCCGGTGTACACGACTGGTCTCTGACACGTCAATCATGGTCGTCTGCTTGTCCCTCCCCCCTTTGCACGTACCCTGACACATGAATGAATCGACCCCCCAATGCTTGTGCAAGACGCCTTGGTTGTAAGCTAGCCACTGTTATGCTACGTTCACACCTATGGTGACCAGAGTTTTTCACATATGTAATCCAAACTGCAGGCACCACGATAATAAAAGCAAACATGTTTTGCCAGCAGATTTCTGCATTTTAAATTAACTTAGGCATTAATGAACTGCTTTAGAGGAGTGATCATAATGCTCTGCATCATCAGTGCTGCCTGTCTCCCTAACAGCAGCCGCTCCTGTTGCTCTAGATGCGCTGCAGACAGCATGCGCGTTCATGTGTTTTGAAGGCGTGGTTTCGAAGGGATTGTCTGAAGGGAGAGGCATGGTTGTGCATGTTCAAAAATAGAGCTTGCTGGAACCGTTTTTCCAAGATCTCCTACAGCAGCTTTAAGGCACAGAAAGCTTCTGAGGACCAGGCCCTAAGAGTGGTGTTAAAATGAGGATGAGGGCAGGGGGCAATATCTGCATTGTAATCAATATCATCACAACAGTGATAATATCTGCTAAAATCTATCAATCCAATGTTCTATTATTGATTTTATAATATTCCGGTCCGCTGATTTGAGCTGATTCCCATATTTTATTGGAAAAAATACAGATAAGAAAATAATTTTTAATAGTTCTGAATAATAGTAAAATAATAATAAATAAAAAAATTAAGCTAAAATTGTTTCTCCCTCAGTTCAACTGAATAAAAAATAAATAAATAATGCCACAAAAGGTTACAGAATACAGGACAACTGAGTAATAAACACTCAAATAACACTTCCTAGAACTAAATGAATGAAATATTCTCATTGAATGCTTTGTTCTGTACAAAGTTGAATGTGCTGACAACAAAATCACACAAAAATCATCACGGAAAACTAAACTTATTAACCGAGGAGGCCTGGATTTGGAGTCAAGACAGAAAATAAAAGTGAAAAAACCCACTATTGGCTGATCCAACTATAGTGTAATGTCCCTAAAACAGGTATAAATGAGGCCTAGTATTGTGTGTGGCCTCCACATGCCTTTATGATCTCCCTAACATGCCTGAGCATACTGCTGGTTAGGTGGTCCATGGTCTCCAGAGGAATCTCCTCCCAGACCTGGACTAAAGGATCCGCCAACTCCTGGAAAGCCTGTGATGCAACGTGATGATGATGGATGGATTGAGACATGATGTTCCAGATGAGCTTCAATGCCTTCATTTTCAAGGAACTGCTGACACTCCAGCCACATAGCATTATCTGTCTAGCATTATCCTGCATTAGGAGGAACCCAGGGCCAATCTCACCAGCAAAAGGTTACAAGTGGTCTGATGGTCTCATCTCGGTAGCTAATGGCAGTCATGCTACCTCTGGCGAGCACATGGAGGACTGTGAGGCCCTCCAAAGAAATGCCACCCCACACCATTACTGACCCAGTGTCAAACTATTCATGTTGAAGGTTGTTGTAGACAGCAGATTCCTCTCCACGGTGTCTCCAGACTGTCACGTCTGTCACATGTGCTCAGGGTTAACCTGTGTTCATCTGTGAAGAACCCAGGGCGTTAGCGGAAAACTAGGCAATCCTGGCGTTTTCTGGCAAATGCCAGGCATACTGCACGGTGTTGGGCTGTGAGCACAATCCCCATCTGTGGATGTTGGGCCCTCATACCATCCTCGTGGAGTCGGTTTCTAACCGTTTCTGCAGACAAATACACATTTGTGGCCTGCTGGAGGTCATTTTGCAGTGTTCCTCCTGTTCCTCCTTATACAAACGCAGAGGTGTTGTTGCCCTTCTACGGCCTTTTCCACCTCTCCACTGGCCTTTCTCCTGGTAGTGTCTCTAGCCTCTAGACACTAAGCTGACAGATACAGCAAGCCTTCTTGCCACAGTTCACGTCAATGTGCCATCCTGGATGAGCTGCAATACTTGAGCCACTTATGTGGGTTGTGGAGTTCGTCTCATGCAACCACGAGGGTGAAAGCACCACCAACATTCAAAAGTGACCAAAATATCAGCCAGAAAGCATAGTACTGAGAAGTGGTCTGCGGTCTCCACCTGCAGAACCACTCCTTTATTGAGTGCATCTTGCTAATTGCCAATAATTTCCACCCGTCTATCCATTTGCACAAAAGCATGTTAAATTGATTATCAGTGTTTTTTCCAAAGACAACAGTTTGATTTTACTTAAAAATGATTTAATCAAAGTTATACTGTGTTGTTTACTAATTCCATTTATTTTTTGAACAGCGTATAAACGTTCAGCTTCTGATGTCTGTCCCTGTTAAAAACTAGAAGATGATTTGTATGTTTCTCAATTTCATTTTTAAGATTTTTTTTATTACCAGTAACAATGTCCACAACAAAGCACTTATGACATGTATTTTAATATAAAGATGAACAGAAAAATACCCTCAGATACTAAGACTGGATCTGAACCTAGTTTTGTACCAGGCGTCTAGGACTAAGTAGCTGAAGATGCATTAGAAGAGATGTTGGGTATGGTTAATTTTATGAACACCACTTAAATCAAATATTAAAAGAAACATTCACATATAACATTAGGAGAAACATTAGTGCAGGTAGCCAAGTTCCTAAAACTGAAAAAAAGACCCATTGTGGAAATGTAGTTGGTTTAGACAGGATATGACGTTAGGTTGAAGCAAAACCACACTCTGTTAAATAAGACACATGTAAAACACCCATCACTGCCGCAAAGCATCTGCTTCCTGAAAATCTTATCAGAGTGTTATTCACACACACACACGCATGCAATCATTCCAAGGCTGCAACTTGGACACACAGTGGGTGACTCACACAATCCCGGTTTCCGAAAGGACAATGTTGCAAAGAGAAAGGACCGTTCTGCTGATGTCATACGAAAGAGGAACAAGGTCAGCAGGAGAAAGGCCAGCCAGATAACAGGGCGGGACACACACAGCCACAACCTCTCACCATGACATTGGTCAACAGCTAAGTGATGTCATTTCAACACTGAATAAGTCAAACATCAATAAAAGCCTTTATGAGACTATGTAGGAAAAACAGGAAAGAGGAATTTTACACTTCTCCTGTGGCTTCATGTTGCTTACTGGTGTGCAGTTGTTGATCAATAATGCCAGCAAGGTACTGAGGGCTCTGTGTGTTTCTGCATGATTGCTAAGCTTTTTCAACTCAGAGTTAAATGTCTAGTTTTTGGTAGAACTCTAGCAAGGCAGATCTTTTTTTACAGATTTAACATGATGACATTTCACTGTGGTTTTAAAAAAGTGAAACAGCTGAGGTTTCGCTTTTGATGATTTATAGCTGGGGATCTTTTGCTTTACCGTTTAAATAAATTTTCAACAAATAATTTCAAATTTGTAATGTGTTCAGCATCTTACCAGAGTTGCGTGAAGGAGGAGGCGCCATTGAGGATGGGTAACTTCCATTGGAGTGGTTGTTTTCTCCAAAGTCAAAGATGGGTTTGGGTTTAGGTATGTACTCTCGTCTTGGTCGAGACTGAGCTTCAGTCATCCTGTTAAAAGAAATATCCCCATTTTTAGATACAAATGAGCATAATGAGATAAAATTTGATGTGGATGATTAAGTTGAAGATTGGAATAGGTTCAGAGCACAGCTGCATGGAAAACATATCACTTATGCATTTGGATATCTTTGGATTTGCTTTCTGCACAAACCTGTCACGCAGCTTATCAGAAAGCTCCTCCAGCACTTGCACCGCTTGTTTATGGTAATGTAGCTGCGACTCGACGAGAGATGAAAGCTGGCTCACCTGTTCAATCTATATATACAGACAAAAGAAAACAACCCATCAAGTCTTGTAAAACATTAACACATACTATACACATCAGCTACATGATCTTTCCACATGGAGCACTAAGATTGCAGATACAGGCGAGTTGAATGTTAAGATAATATAGAGCAACTATTTTTTTTTCTTTTTTTCTTTTCTTATCTTTTGCATAAAAACAAGTGTTTATATAAAATTTAAGTAAAAGAGTATTTTTAAAGTCAAAGCGAAGCTAAAATTGAAGTCCCAAGATTATTTTCATCAACAGGAGGAACTCCTGGTCTGGAGAGCAACATTCAGCTAACGTCAGACTTTGAGTAATGTTGAACAGGGTGCTGAAATCTGTGAGGTAACCTATTGGGTAATCAACTGCAGTAAAATGTTGCCCGCTTTCGAATATCTACAGGTGCTGGTCATAAAATTAGAATATCATGAAAAAGTAGATTGATTTCAGTAATTCCATTTAAAAAGTGAAACTTGTATATTATATTCATACATTACATACAAACTCATATATTTCAGATGTTTATTTTGTTTAATTTTGATGATTACAAATGACAACAAATGAAAATCTCAAATTCATCATATCAGAAAATTAGAATATTACTGAAGACCAATAAAAACAAAGGATTTATAGAAATGTTGGCCAACTGAAAAGTATGAACATGAAAAGTATGAGCATGTACAGCACTCAGTATTTAGTTGGGCCTCCTTTGGCCTGTATTACTGCAGCAATGCGGCGTGGCATGGAGTCGATCAGTCTGTGGCACTGCTCAGGTGTTATGATAGCCCAGGTTGCTCTAATAGTGGCTTTTAGCTCTTCTGTATTGTTGGGTCTGGTGTATTGCATCTTCTTCTTCACAATACCCCATAGATTTTCTATGGGGTTAAGGTCAGGAGAGTTTGCTGGCCAATTAAGAACAGGGATACCATGGTCCTTCAACCAGGTACTGGTAGCTTTGGCACTGTGTGCAGGTGCCAAGTCCTGTTGGAAAATGAAATCTGCATCTCCAAAAAGTTGGTCAGCTGCAGGAAGCATGAAGTGCTCTAAAACTTCCTGGTATGTGGCTGCGTTGACCCTGGACCTCAGAAAACACAATGGACCAACACCAGCAGATGACATGGCACCCCAAACCATCACTGACTGTGGAAACTTTACACTGGACTTCAAGCAACGTGGATGAAGTGCCTCTCTTCTTTTCCTCCAGACTCTGGGACCTTGATTTCCAAAGGAAATGCAAAATTTACTTTCATCAGAGAACATGACTTTGGACCACTCACCAGCAGTCCAGTCCTGTTTCTCTTTAGCCCAGGCAAGACGCTTCTGACGCTGTCTGTGGTTCAAGAGTGGCTTGACACAAGGAATGCGACAGCAGAAACCCATGTCTTTCATACGTCTGTGTGTGGTGGTTCTTGAAGCACTCACTCCAGCTGCAGTCCACTCTTTGTGAATCTCCCCCACATTTTTGAATGGGTTTTGTTTCACAATCCTCTCCAGGGTGCGGTTATCTCTCTTGCTTGTACACTTTTTTCGACCACATCTTTTCCTTCCCTTCGCCTCTCTATTAATGTGCTTGGACACTGAGCTCTGTGAACAGCCAGCCTCTTTAGCGATGACCTTTTGTGTCTTGCCCTCCTTGTGCAAGGTGTCGATGGTCGTCTTTTGGACAACTGTCAAGTCAGCAGTCTTCCCCATGATTGTGTAGCCTATAGAACTAGACTGAAAGACCATTTAAAGGCTTTTGCAGGGGGTTTGAGTTAATTAGCTGATTAGAGTGTGGCACCAGGGGCCATCAATTTTGAACCTTTTCACAATATTCTAATTTTCTGATATGATGAATTTGAGATTTTCATTTGTTGTCATTTGTAATCATCAAAATTAAACAAAATAAACATCTGAAATATATGAGTTTGTATGTAATGTATGAATATAATATACAAGTTTCACTTTTTAAATGGAATTACTGAAATCAATCTACTTTTTCATGATATTCTAATTTTATGACCAGCACCTGTATAGGACTGCATAGTGCTACCTAGTATTATCATTCCTTCTGTGTACTACTGATCTTGATCAAGCCTGTTCTTACATTTAACAGGGCAAATTAAGTGATACAAGTATGTTTAATTTATGTTGATGTCATATCAGTTTAAAATCTTTATCAGTCAGTACTCAAAGCTGCAATATTGGCATTATATCAGTTCTGGTACACTCATAGTGTCAGATTGAGACCTAGTATGAACAAAACCCCATTCTTAAAGAACTGGTTGTGATGATTCAAAAAATAAATGATAAAATATATTTTTACACATCTATATTCAGCCATCCATCCTTTAGTATAAATCCTGACCCTACAATGTGTTGTGGCACCACACAACAATAAACCCCATCATCACTAAATGTTGCATTTAAACTACTGAACAGGTGTGTTTGATTAACCTTTATAGATGCAATGAACAGAGTTTCTGTTTGTTCTTAAGATGTAAATGTATTTGAAAAAGCCACGTAACGCAGAACAGGACAGACAATATAACCTTGTACCAGAGTAGCAAATAATTTTATAAAATAAAAAGGTTCAGGTTTCAAAAGATCTGTAAAATGACTCACTATAGGCAGTAAAATACAAATGAAATTGCGATATAAGCCCAAAACACCACTACTTGAATGTGTTCCTCCTAACACTGTGATATGAGGTACTTTATTAGGAGAATGACTAATTAAATAAAGACTTAGGCTTAGTTTAAAAACAACTAGACTTTAGGATGTGGCTCCAACCTTTCACTGATGGTTAAACAGAAAGAAGTGCTTACATCAGTCTCCAGCAGGTTGTACATGCTGGTCTCAGCCACTTCCTTTGACTCATGAAACTTTTCAAGGGCCTGTCGAACTTCCTCATCAGGAATCTTGCCCTGGCGCTTCTTTTTGTAGTCATAATCCAGCCGACGGCCTTCAAGCTTCTTCAGATGGTGCTGAAGTGGTGTATAGATACAATTTAGCTGCTGCATTTTACTGTCTGAAGACCTTATCAAATATACATTTTCATAAAGCATATGCATACCTGTATCTCTCTGAGGTCCTTGTCACACAGAGTTTGTAATGGATCAATAAAGTTCTGTTTTACGTCGATGTCTAGAGAGTCTTTGACCTCTGCTAACCGCCTCATTGCCTCTCCCACATCTACTAGAGCAGCACCTGGATAAAACAGATGGTTGACATTTGGTCACGATTTGTAATATTAGAATAAAAACAAAACAGAGAGCCCAAGTCTCTCAGTTTAGGCTTCAATGAGCGAAAACTAAATCACCAAAGCATGAATTCGAAACAAAATAGACCAAAATAACCTTTTAGATGCTGAGTTGGTAGTTTGGCTGCACACAAATGATCAGGACGCATAAACAGGACACATGCACATCTACTTGGCACATTGTGGAAGTATGCTGGTGAAGATTCTCAGTTATATGGTTCATAGCCATTCCAAAAGTCCAGTGGATTGCTTTTTTTTTTTTTTTTTTTACTTATTTTGGAATTGTGGAAGTAATAAATATAAACACCAGTATTTGCACTGCCCAGGATTTACTCCAGGCTTACACTGATTACGTATGCAGGCTGCTTCAAAAATTCATTCACACTACATCAGCCCACCAATATTAGTGCTTTTTTCTTGTATCAGCTGATAAGTGCATGCTTTTGAATATTCATCAGTGCATTCAGCAGCCCTGCCTGGTGTTACAGTATCTGGCCAAACTTGCCTATTGCAGAATTTTCTAAAGCAAAGTACTGTTCCTGTCCCTGTAATTGGATTCTCACCGCACCGTGGCTGATGTAAGTTTTTAAGGATTTGGGTTCCTTACCCTACCAGTGCTACAGCGGTACTGTATTCAGCTTGAGCCCGGTGTTATAGCAGAAAACATAATATCTCACCAAAGTTAGTGTCTTCTCCAAGTTCCCGTCCATACTTGGCCATACATTCTCCTAGCAGCCCTTCAGCTTGAGGATATCCTGGGTTCTTCACCTGACCACGGATCTTAGACATGGTGTTCAACATGGACAGTTTTGCACGAGATGCTTTAAAAGAAAGGTGAGGAGGACGTTAACAGAAATTTTACAATTAGGTAAACACACAAATACCAGACTTGTCTTCTTACCTGGGTTGGGCTGAAGGTACTCCGATGTTTTGGAGATAACCTCCGCTACTGCTTTACTGGTCACATCAACCTTCTGTAAAGAACAACACATCCCAGTTTGCATCAGTTACTTGTCAAATATAACAGAACAAGGAAAAAAATATATGAAAACATTTAATAATTAAAAAATACTAATATGCTAGTAACATTAAGATAGCTGTAATGTTTATGGTGACACCTAAACTTTAAAACTGACTCTTTTATTTAAGAAGGAGTTTTCTTCAAAGCATGCTAAAATATGCTATGTCTTTAACTAGGTGGTGTGTCTAGACTAAAATTCAAAACCCAAACATAACCAGCAAAAAAAAAACTTTTATATTAGCAAATCAGAGACTATGCCTTATGCAACATGTTCTATTCAAATTTGTTTTCATCTAAACATTTAAAATTATAGGTCATTGGTCCAGTTAACAACCATATTTTAGGTAATTTTCACTTTTGTCTAAAGGGCTGGTTATCCTCCCGCAGCAGTGTGTCGCAGTGAGCGTGTCGCAGATATTTTTTATTCATGCCCAATATTGAAGCGTGGTCTGCGCTGTTATTCCACGCCACAATGCAAGATGGACAATCATGAACTAGCTGTGGGTCTAGATAATTTTGAGGCGGTCAAATTTGTGTGACAACAGGGGGACATGAGGGTGAAAAAGAGAAGTGATCCAGGTGGAAAAAGGGTCCCAGCGCTCTCGCACACCTCGCACTTCTAGCTGGTCCATCTTAACGAGTCATTTTCCACCATGGCGGTCATACAAACAAAACAGGAAATACGCAGTGTAGAAAGGATGTAGATTTGACCAATCAAAGCCCTCCTGTCTGCGGTAATCGACAATTTTGGAGAGGTACAGCAGAGTGTCTGCGACAGGGGCAGAGTTTCTGAGTATAAATCAGCCTTAAGGCCACTAAATAAACATAGAAGAAAATGTTTTTAATGAAAACATTTACTTGTGCAGCTCCACAACTTTGACTCCTACTCTCTGATAGGTCTCTTACCCGTTCCAGGTCCCTGAAGTCCTCATCTAGTTTGGTTCCTTCTGCACCACCAACTTTCTCACTCACCATCTAGAGAAGAAGACATGAAAGGGGGGGGGGGGGTGAGAGAAAATAAAAATGCAAGCTAAGTAATACCGCTTATGTGGTTTTGATCTGAGAGAAAAAAAGACAGAAGTGCTTCATGAATATGGAAATGTAGCCTCTGAGTTTTTGTATCGTGACGCATAGCTTAATGTAAGCTACCACTGATTATTGTAGTAAAACACATAAAAATTGCCAATGCAGTCCATAAAAAAGAAAAAATCTTTGAGTAGTTAACCTGGCTACTTTTATCCAAATCTGAAAAGAATCTCTTATGCTTCTCTTCTGTGAAAATATTGTAAAACATCCTTGTATTCAAATTTTAGAGAAAACTTTCCTAAATCATCTTTGCTATCTTAACTAATGCTATCTTGAGAGAACTCCACATCTGATTATCCTTTTGTTTCATTATTCTTTAGATCTGATCAACAAAATCCACCCATCCACAGGGACATTGTTTTGCTTTACTTTCCACAATAAATCTAAATCACAATTTATCTAAACCCAGAGTAAAAAACAACAACCCACAAATAACAGGTTGAAACAGATCTGGGTTGCTCTTTTAACCACCACCTGTGTTACCATTAAAATTTCCTCTCCTACAGGAAACTACTCAAGCTGACCAAATAAAGATGAGACGTGGCTGTGAACAGGAAATATAACACTGAACAACACCTGTAGTCTACACAATGTGGTTTATGTTTCTAAAACGCAAGAGTGAATATAAAGCAAAACAGAAATACCACTCACACCTTCTGGGGATACAGTTTCTTATAAATATTTAACAATAATCTAAGAGCTTGAACTCCATGAGGATTTATAAAAGCTTTTCCTGGGAGGACATGTTTTCATTAGGATGTGTTACGCAATATTTTCAGATAATGATAAACTTTGACATAGTTTGCTGCACACATCCATTTCACAGTTAGAGATATTGTTCCTTTTCTTAGATTAATATATTGATGTTTTGAAGGAAGAGAACATAGGTTTGTTGATAATAATTAACACATTTAGCAATCATCAAAGAGGTTGAGATTAGGGCTGCAACTAATGATTATTTTAAAAATCGATGAATCGGCCGATTATTTTTTCGATTAATCGATGAATCGGACAAAAAAAAAAAATTTTATATTAACCTCTTTATTCCAAAATAAACATTTTAGACAGAACAAACAAGCACACAAGTACAGGTTGCTCATTAACTGTACTGGTGCAATATGAAAAATAAATGTTTGTGTAAAAACTACGCCAACTTACATGAGAAATGTAGCTGTACATCCACAAAATATAGGCTACTTTGGTTCATAAAGCGCAAAAAGAGACAGGCATTTTTGTTTTTTAAAGCCCCTAAGGGGTTCAACAATAGGTCCCCCCATTTCAAGAAATGAGTTTTTTTTAGACTAGAAGAGTTCTGCCTTTTAAGACAGGAAAGTATAGCAGTTAAAGTTGCTGCTTGAGAAAATACTGAACCATAGAGATAAAAATAGCCCTGTGATTCAAATTATAAATTGTATTTGGAATAAAAATGAGAGAACTAGGGGTGGTAAAAAAAACACATCCTCCAATGTGGCAGATAATTAATTGACATATTACTGATCTTGCTGGATTTTGTTCTGCTTTACTTCCATAAATTGCAGGATCTTCTTTTCTTTATCTTTGCCAGAAGATTTAAACTTTAAAAGCCTTGCCCTCATAATTTGCAAGTTAATTTATTTATAAAGAAAATATAAACGCTGCTTAAACAAATGTAAATGAAATTAAAAGTAAAATAAGTAGCCAACCTTATCCCTGTCTGTAACCTACTAACAAGGTAAGGAAAGCATCAGATGAGCTACCTGAGAAACTAACGTTACGTTTCCCCACTTTAAAACCAAACAAACATGGTTACTCATCCTGCTGATCAGCTCTCTTCACTGCCATCGAAGGCTCCAAAGTGTTTTCTTTTCAGGTGCTGCGTCATAACAGTGGTGCTTCCGTGCCATGTTAATTTCTTTTGAAAAAAGTTGCATGTTATCACTTTTTTCACTTTACAAAGCGCAGGCTATTTTAATTATTGTGATCAATTTGCGCCGTCAATCCCGGCGCATGCGCGCTTCATTTGCAGTCTGGACGCTGAGGGTAAACTCCTCACTAAAATCCTGCGGCTCTGACTGCCGCGCTGAGAGGGATTCCTGTGGGAGAGGGAGAAAGGCGTTGGGATGGGGGAGGCGCCCCACGGCAGGCAAAAGCCGCCAGTGACACCGTAAAAAGTCGCCAGATTTGTCGCTAGTCGCTTTTTTGAAAAATAGTCGCTGGAGGGGTCTGAAAAGTCGCTGAGTTGGCAACACTGCAACTGCGGCGCTGACTCGCTCCGCCATATTTTTTTTTCTTCCCCCGGATGACGGCGGCGGCGGATGACGCATTAATCGCGCGACACAACTAATCGATGATTAAATTCGTTGCCAACGCTTTTAAAAGTCGATTTTTATCGATTTTATCGATTCGTTGTTGCAGCCCTAGTTGAGATTATCATTTTAAATGTCCTCTTATTAAGAGAACACTATGCTGATATTTCCACTCAGCATTCCTGTATTTCTGCTGCGTTCCCGAGAGCATATGACACTGACAGATTCAGGTCACAAGAGAAGTTGCAGGGGAAACTCAGTAAAAGTATTACTTATCTGCACACTAAAGCCATGAAATGCAGCACAAAAGCACCCACACAAATCTCAATGTTTTCATACAAACAAATCAGAGCGTTACAAATATAGATTAATGTGCAACAGAAATCCTTTTTATCTGCCTAACAGTGTGTTACTAAAATACTTCTACATTATCTCAAAGCTTGATCGAATTCTTGTTTCCTCAGTTGACAAACACTGCAGAGCTGATTTACAGAGAGCAAATTTAGAGATCAGGGAGGACAACCAAAACACTCCGAGTGGCTTAAAGCTCACAAAGAACAAGCTTCTGAAATAACTACAGGATAACATTATACAGAAGTTTCAATGCGCAAAAAAGGGGAGAGACGATTATGGAAAACAATAGAGAAGATGAAATAAGACTATTAAAGCTGAATACTGAAAAGAATGAGCTATGCTGATGCAGCACCTGAAAAAAGTAGATGTCTGGAGGTAATAACAACTGGACCACAAGCTTAAAAAGCTAAAGTGTCCAGACATATGAAGCATTTTCAGGTAAAAAAAATACTTTTTTGACATTCAGTAAAGCTTACTGCACTTCAGTAAAAAAACATGAGCCTCCTGAAATGTTCTGTTAGTCAGGTCTTGCTGTGGCTTTTATAATTTGCTGTAGAAACCAGGTCATCCTCAGCTTTAAGTCAAGTCTCTGTTCCAGAACTGTGACCATGGATTGAGCCGTTGTTTTAACAAACATGGTGATAACAGATTTAGGCTGCAGCTTTCTAATGTTATCTCTGCGTTGGATGCTTTCAGTTTGCAGAAACCAAGTGAATAAAATGTCTAACTCAATGAGGATATTTGCCAAAAATACCTTCGTTATCCGTGCGCCGGACTGGAGTTGTGACAGGCAGCCGGCCACATGCGGCTACGCTCTACCCCTTCTATTCATTTGGCTAGCTAATTTGAATCGTTCAATTCCATTTCGAGAGCAAGATCATCTGTGGTAGTAGCACTAGACATCTTCCAGGCATGTGAGTAAAACTAGCAGCAGTTCAGCGGACAGGATGAATGAACGGTAGCCGGCGCGCGCGGATGACGTCATACACGCACCGCTTCGTTTTTAAAAGATATAAATATAAAAAATATAACAGCGGATTCGCCTACATGTTTTGAATGCTGGCGTACCATAAATGATAAATTGTGAACAGTTTAGTTTGTGCCTAAAAGTCGTTGCCCATAGGAAGACGTTACTTGGATATAATCTATCCGAATATCTTCAGAACAGCTCCAATTGACACAAAACTCATATGGGTGAGTAGAACTTGATGTACCAACGTAAAATCAAGGGCCCAATGTAAAAAAAAAAAAAAAAAAAAAAAAAAAAAAAAAAGACGGTGTTTCCCTTTAAGACAAAGCAAAGTATTTTTTTATTATCATACCGGCATTATCAGAGAGTTTAAGTGCAGGCTTATGTAATCCATTTTTTTCCCTTTTTGCCTAATATCAGCCCAATATCCAAAATCAATATGAGATTGGGTCATCCTTTAAAAATTATATAGAATATACACTATATTGTTTGGGATTATTGTCCAGCCCTAGTCCATTATAAAAGTGATACTGAAATGTATTGATCATGCTAAGAGTAAAAAAATATAGAGGTTCCAGATGACCTCACATCTAAAAGCTGACTGATACAATCGCACCAATAAGCCCACAAACCATCATTTGCATTTTTGTTTTTTGCATCTTACACAGATGCTATAATCAAAAACTATTTTTAGCGCACAGAGGTTGGATGTTGTTCCAAAAACATGGCCAGAGGCCCATTTCACAAGCAGGTTTACTGAAAATTGTAAGGTTTCTAAAAGCTGGAATCAGGGAAACCGAGTTTTCCATTTAACAAAGAGAGTCTACTCAACCTCAACTCAATTACCGGTACTGTAGTAATATTCTCCCCAGAACTAACCTGGTTGGGAGCAGGTTTTCCTTAATAAACTAAGGGTTTCCTCTGTCTCTGCCCTCCCTAAAGCAAATTGTGTTGTTTTATTTCTGTATTTAGTCAGGAGAATTCTGTCTTAGTATTGCACATACAATAAAATGAAACCATTCACTAGGTTCATTAGAGATATTAGATGTCAAAAACACCATCAAAGCATGTCCTTTTGATGAGGATCCAATTGAAGAATGAGCGGGATTAATTCACAGAGAATTAAACATTTACAGGGAGAGGGTTCTTAGACTGTGTATAGATGTCCTTTATATTGAGGAAGTTTTCTTTGTGAATGCAATTATTTCACATACATCAAGAACCTTAGCTGTTCTCACATTTACAGCAGTACACAGACTTCTTTAACAGGTATTTAGCAGAACATGATATCAGTGAGAGCACACTGATGTGTGATAACAGCATTATGGAAAACAACTGTACAGCGAAACAGACACTTAGTATTTACTGTGCAATGGAAGACAGAAATAAAATGAGGAGGAACCCCATGAGATGATGCACAAGTCTTGCCAGTTAGAACAACATTTTTCTATTCTATCTTCACCTGCTGACTGGTGATTAGACCTCAAGAGATACACTGATCCACTTTCAATCAGTAAACTAGGTTTTTGTAGTGATTAAAACTGGCTTTGGCAAAACATTTTTATATTTGTCTTAATGTGTATTTAAAAGGCATTTCTTACCTTATCAAATCAAAAATTTCAAACAAAATGATATTCTTCATATCTAAAGTAAAGATTCTGGATGTCTAGAAATTAATTCCAGATCCCCATATTGTTACTTGTATTATTTTGACTTGGAAGAAATATATTTCAGATATCATAAATACATATTCAGTCAAGCCGATAAATGTCAACACAGCAACTTAAGGTATCAAAGAGGATTTTTCTCAGAAATTAAGTGTCCAAATTAATCTAAAATAACTTAATTGATGGCTGGCAGTCTTGCTCTTATGGACCCCCCCACAAAATTATTGAAATCCACAAACTCTGGCAGTGATGGGGCCTACAAAACATTAGCCAATCTATTTTGTCTACTGTCAAAAGTGGATTGGCTACTTGTTTGTTAATCAAACCTTTTGCGTACGTGCCCCCAGTATGTTATTCACGTAGACTCCAAGTGTGACTCATACATTGTTTCGCTAGCAGTCCGTCATTACGCCGAAGCATGAAGATGTACTCCTACGCCTGTTTACTGCCTCGGCTTTTATTTTAGCGATTTGTTTACCGTTTTGTGTAAACTTGAGCATCAATGACCTAAAATAATCCTGACAAACCTAACCGTAAAAGAAAGCCTTATTTTTGATATAGTTGAAAAGAGGATGTGGGAGAGAACGGCGTGGGAAAGCGTGTGTACAGGAGATTGTTTTCGCAGATGGCGTGCCCTACAGGAGCAAAAGGGTCTGAAAACAGATGCTTTGGTCGAAAAACTTTTGCTGGACAGGTAAATTATGTTTAATTGTGTAGTAAGTACTGTGTTTTTTAAAATTATGAAACATGCAGCAGCGAGAACACACCAACAAATTGTAAATATAACTTGCAGTGATGACGCCGGCGGAGACCTGTTCTTTTAATGATTTCCTGCTGACTAGGTTCATCCTGGTATTTTGCTGCCTCTCTAGTTGAAATACAAAATAACCAGCAGAGGCGTTTCCAGCGAACTTTTGCGAAGGAGGGGGCAGTGACGCATGTTCACAATTCGAAAATACACAAACACCCTTTGAACATATCTCCCACCACAAAATCCCCTTTCCTGCCTTTAAAATATGTAAAATTTCTAGGTACAGTACATGAAACTTTTTTCTTACAAGTGTAACTGTGTGATTCTCATTCAGTTTTATGCTAGCAAATATGTAGTTAAGGAAATCTACCATTACAATTCTAACCAGGAATCCAAAACATACAATAAAAGGTAACACGAGAAGGAAAGCAATCTGCAAAATGTGAGAGTGAAAACCTTTTTAAATGTTCTTAACATTTTTATAAGCTAGAAATCATTATCCTTTCTGACTCTGTAGGAAGCCCTCACCCTGTCTGGATCCTGCAAACCAGCTTAGCACCAAATCAAGTCCCCAGCTAAATTTAATCTAAACTAATCCTCTCAGATTGAACTGTTTTAGCTCCTGGAATGATCTTCATGTCACAATAGAAATAATGAAAAGAGAACTTGCTATGGATGCGTACTTTTTGACAACTTGTCAGGTCTTAAATACAACAGATTCTAAATAGTCAATTAAATGCTATAGAAATTACAGTTTTGTTTCAGTTAATGTTAAAAATCACTAAACGTAAGATAAACCTTCTAATATTGCAATATGACATACATTTCACAAGTAATTATACAGTACACTAATACAGACTAAATAATTATGCTTGCTTTTTATATCTATGACTTCCATCTACTTGATATCTTTTGTGGTGAAGAGTATTATCTTTCAAGTATTAAACACAGAGAAAAAGTCCAAAACCTGCCATGTAACAATATTCTCCATATGTTTTTGTATAAGAACAATTTCATGTCACAGAACAGATGACATGTTTGGTTATCTTGTACTAAACATCAGTACATATTCCCTTGCCTTCCTAATGATTTTATGTCCAAGAGAGACATTTCAGGTTCGATATTTATTATTTTAAAAGGAACAGAGAGATAACAAAAGTGAGAGAGAGAGAAAAAAACAACATATGAGCAAAGTTATCATTTCCACAGCCAACTTCCTGCCTTCCTGATGTGAATACAATCTGAGCTATTGGGAGTGTTATTGCCTCGAATGGAGTTTTGGCAAGCAAAGTCGCTGCAATGCAGTGAAATAATAGGGAAGGCACACTTTGTCCAGCCTTCTTCCACTACATCCATCATTTGGGTCAATTCTCATGCCCTGATCTATTTGATGTCTTTTTTTCTGCTAATCAGTTTCACCATGAACAGTCCAGTTGTACAACACAGCCTCTAAAATGACGTTATTTACCATCTACTACAGGAATCTGGGTTTGTTCTTGGCAGGATGCTGAGGCAGACACCAAATGTATTTTCCTGCTTAGATCAGCAGGGGTTGGAAGAAAAGACAAAAAAAAAAATCTTTTTAAACAGTCTCCTCCCATGACTGGGAGAGTTGCCCCAAATTAAAAACATTCACAATAAAGCTGAGACAAGAAACCGAGGAGGATTTCTTTTTATCTCTAGAAGTACGCAAGTATTTATTAAGACGCTCTAATCGTTGAAAAAAACAAACAGAAGATTTGATATTTGAGTTTAAAATTGATCATAGTTGAAGAAAATATTTTACTACTCAAACGGCAGTCACAAAAAACACATTTTCACGACTCCCTCGTCTTGTTTTCTTTTTAACTTAAGACCATTTACCTCTTTTTTAAAGCAAACAACTTTATTTCACTATAATTTGTTGATAAATAATCATGTTTCCATTTTATATAAATAATTTACAGGGCAGACAACGCAATATCAACCAGTCAGTCTACTGTGAGTTAAGGGGAACTCGCTTCATTTCACGCTCGCCGATTTAGTGTTGAGAGAAAACAAGAGCAATTTAAACATTTCACACAACTAAACAACAAGCTGTCAGAAAAACAACATCCACCGTTAAATAAACGAAGCAGTGTTAGCTTGGCTCTGAGCATTAGCTTGCTATGCTACAAGCCGCTAGCTAGCTGCTCGCGCTAACGGTAAGAAAAGTTTTGCAAACCTGACTGGCTTTATAAAACTGCTTCTTCAAACCCGCCACAGACATCTTGGAAGCTGACCGTCCCCTGCTCTTCTACTGTCGGCCGTGTAAACAGGTCAAGATAAAGGGGAAAAAAAGTTAACGTTTACACTTAGTCAGAAACGAGCCAGTGCAAAAAAAAAAAAAAAAAAAAAAAAAAAAGCAAATGTTTCGGGGGGGATCATAGGTTTACTGGGCCGTCACTCCAAGTCGGGACACGCCAGCTGACCACGTCCACAGTGAGCGCGACTCCTGCCAGAGTCCCCGATAGCGAACCAATAATTATCTTAAAAATAAGCGATTTAATATCCTAAACTCACTCTATGTTTTACGTCTTGGCTAAATCTCTGCCGAACACTGAACATATTTATTTAACAGCGTTAACGTTTGTGACGCAATGATTTTAAGAAATTAAACCACACCGCCCCCTGCTGGATACAATTAGCAAGCACCGGTACTTTACTGAGGCTGCAGTTATGGGTTGCAATGGTAGCATTAGTACAACCCTAAATATTTGGTTATAATACCTTTATTTGTACGTAGATGTTTTATTTCAGAATATTTATACCTCTAGAAAAATATATTTGTTGTCCTTAACCTAGGAATAAAACTAGTAATAATAATGATTATTACTAGATATTTTAACTCTTCACTATTATTATACTCATACATTTTCAAAGATTCTTATACATTTTTCTACGCTCCATATTTGTGTGACCATTTTTTCTATAATCTTTTTGCTGCTGTAAACATCAGAATTTCCCCATTGTGGGACAATAAAAGGGATTTTCTATTCTATTCTATTCTATACTATTCTACTGATAAGAGTATGTAGCACTGATGCTTTGCAGTAAGAACGTCCTGAATTTGAATCCAAGCCAGGAATCTTTCTGCATACATTGCAATTTCTCCCTCTGCTTACATGGAAAGCCAATTGGGAAGCATATTTCTCAGGGACTGCTGGGGATGCAAGGACTAGAGCTATAAACAAAGGAAGGATGTTTAGATAAATATTATTAGATAAGTACAGAAAGAAAAAACATGCATTTATTAAACAATACTTTAGTTTCTAGCATCCACTATAAGAATGTTCTTCTATATCTTTGGACTTCAAACCTATCCCTCTACTTCTTTTGGATTTTGTAATCAGGTAATTAGATGAAGTATCGTATTAGGTGGTGTAATAATTTAAGGAGCTCAAAAGGGTCAGAAACCTATCATGGTCAGTAATGATCCAAGTTGGACTAAGATCCACCTTGTTATGTAACTTATCTTTCATTAAATTATTATTAAGTGCTTGGAGTTGCATTGTAAATATGATCACTAAAATTATTAAGCCACACTCATTTTATGTAAGCTATGTCAGAGTTTCTAAATATAAAGAATATCTTAATGAAAAATTGCAGACCTTTAGTGTTTGTTTTACATCCTTCATGTTTAAGAAATAAAAATACATCCTGGATTTAGTTAAGTCATTGATTCTTTTGACTTATTCTGACATCTCTCACACATTTTAGTTTTGGTTTGTCCAACGAAATGTACTACGTATACAAATATCAATGTATTCTTTAAACAAAAAAAAAAAAAAATTGGAACAATTGTGCTGCTGATTGAAATTCCGCTTTTACTTTTGATTTTCACATTGGGTCTCTAAATCGCTCCAGTTTTTATCCTCTCTGAAATATAAATATAGATAGATGGACAAGGCTTTTTTTGCATTTTCTAAGTACACTAATGTCACCCAGCTTCGTTTCTGGAAGTAATGGGTAGCTGGTGAAGCTGCCCATTACTTCCAGAATACATTTTAAGTTTGTGGCTCTAGTTGTTTCTAGGGCTTTACAAGGTCAAGTCCCAGCATTGATCTTTTAAATCCTTATACCTCCTGAAAGTATTTGTAGTCCAGGTGAGCAATGCCTGACTGTTAATGCTGCATACCGGGCAAAAGACAAAAGAAAACAGAGCATTTGTTTCTGTGCACACCAGAATCATGTAAATATCTCCGCCATTATGGATTCAGTTGCATTTTAAAATCTAGCTAAATATGCATTGTTTTAAAAGGGCTTTTATATTAGTTCCTGTGCAATAGTTTCTTGCTCTGGAGTTTATTTTCCTTACTTTAATTATTGTAATTTTAATCATTATAGCAGTACACTCTCATCTCATTGCAAAAACAATAAAAAAAATGTAATTTTTTTTGTGTATTTACCATTAATTTCAGTAGGTAAATAAGATGATCGGCTAGAGAAATTAATATTTTTACCCTTAAAATAATATATTTAGATATTATGCACTTGAAATAAGAGATTACAGTTGTTTTCCCCCCCTCATTTTAAATGTTGTCTTATTCCATTGACAAATTGGCCTGCTTACTTGCTCAGTTGAAGAAAGAAATGTATTTATTTTATGAAAATTTTACTTATTTAGATTTCAATGGTTTGCAGTGTTTACTTTTTTAATTATTCTGCATCTGCTTTATGCTTTAATGTGAAGCACTTTGTGATACTAATTTTTCCAAAAAAAGGTTAATTAATAAAAGTTATCTTATAACTTAATACTATAATAATCTTTTCATCGTTTTATCCTGTAAATCTCTCTTATGGTGTTGTCTGTGTTAATAATAGAAAAAAAAAATGAAATCTGTAAAGCAAAAGAAAAGGGTAAAATAATAACGATCAGACCTTTGCCTTAGCATTACAGCAAGTCCTAGCATGAGAACCAAGAAAAGACGTCAAAGGAAGGATTTACAGTTGTTAAAAAGACTTTTATTTCATTCTTAAATCCACATACAGTATCACCATTGTGCAACAACACTTCACTGTGGCTTTACAACCATGACATAAATTATTCCATAATAAACTCTATCTTGATTCAATAACAATAATGATCTTAAAATATAGTGAGATTATAAACAGGAGGATCATGACGAAAGAGAACCTTTAAGAGAGACATCTTTAAAAACTCTTAAAAAAAAAATAGAATCACATCTCTCTGAGAGAAAAAGGACATCGACTGATGCAAAAAAAACCAAAAAAAACAAACCAGTACAACAATACGGGATAAAAATCAATAAACAAAAGATCACAACAAAACCAACATAGAATTCAGAGATTATAATTAATCCGTTGTTTTTTTGTTTTTTTTTTATTCATCTCCTACTTAATCTATGTTTTCAACAAAGAAGTCTTGCAACAATGATATCAGACATGGGGCTAAAATTCTGTGATACTTCTGTAATCAAAAATTCACAAGAACATGTACTGTACACAGTGATCAAGGTTTAAAGGTCTTTTATGTTGGTGCAAGGTCTCCTGCTAGCTCGACTAATTGCAGACGCTGTAGGACAGAGAGCCCAGCTATCTCCCTGAGTGAGTCTAAAGGGACATGAAAGTGCAGATCATAGGTCCTGCCCTCTGGACTGTTTCAACATACACATAATTCTTTATGAGCTAACATTTAACATTATCAGGACTCAAACACAAAGCAATGTACTTTGTTTACAATCTGTAAATGCTATGCAACTGGATCATCTGATCTGCAAAGTTAAGTTTTTGGTACTTTATGCTATAAAAACAATTATTCATGGTGCTGTGAGGTTATTACGCTGGAGTGCTAGAAAAAACATGAACTGTAATAGACGGCTGGTAAGGCCCGACATACCGAGAACAATGGGAAGGACATTATTGCACAATCCCAGAATGTTTAGTACCAAAACAAGAGAGACCCCCCCCCACCCCGGGCTGCATGAAACAATGAACGGTGAACAGCACTGTCCCAGCAGTGCTAAGCCAACTTGGCTTAAAAATTACTCTGAAAGAGAGACAACATCCAACATCTGTCATGTGATTGTCTTAGGACTCCGAATATAGTAATTTAATTGAATTTCTCACAGCCTCTTTGAGCCGCTGGTACAACAAGGTTTATTGTTTGACAGAAATCTAATACAGCCGTCTACTTCAAATGAAGTTTTCATGATTCCTGCAGGCATCTCTAGAGATCTAACAAGAGATAGATCTGTGTATGTTCAAGGCTTCCTGGAACTAAAGGCATATAGAGCTCTGAAATAAACAAACCAGCAGTCAGAGCGATGTCTTTAGCACAAAAAAAAAAGTTTTATTTACTTTTCATCCAGTTTTAAAAGCATTATTTTACTGTTTTTGAGGCTCTCTCTACAGGTGCTGGTCATAAAATTAGAATATCATGAAAAAGTAGATTGATTTCAGTAATTCCATTTAAAAAGTGAAACTTGTATATTATATTCATACATTACATACAAACTCATATATTTCAGATGTTTATTTTGTTTAATTTTGATGACTACAAATGACAACAAATGAAAATCTCAAATTCATCATATCAGAAAATTAGAATATTACTGAAGACCAATAAAAACAAAGGATTTATAGAAATGTTGGCCAACTGAAAAGTATGAACATGAAAAGTATGAGCATGTACAGCACTCAGTATTTAGTTGGGCCTCCTTTGGCCTGTATTACTGCAGCAATGCGGCGTGGCATGGAGTCGATCAGTCTGTGGCACTGCTCAGGTGTTATGATAGCCCAGGTTGCTCTAATAGTGGCTTTTAGCTCTTCTGAATTGTTGGGTCTGGTGTATTGCATCTTCTTCTTCACAATACCCCATAGATTTTCTATGGGGTTAAGGTCAGGAGAGTTTGCTGGCCAATTAAGAACAGGGATACCATGGTCCTTCAACCAGGTACTGGTAGCTTTGGCACTGTGTGCAGGTGCCAAGTCCTGTTGGAAAATGAAATCTGCATCTCCAAAAAGTTGGTCAGCTGCAGGAAGCATGAAGTGCTCTAAAACTTCCTGGTATGTGGCTGCGTTGACCCTGGACCTCAGAAAACACAATGGACCAACACCAGCAGATGACATGGCACCCCAAACCATCACTGACTGTGGAAACTTTACACTGGACTTCAAGCAACGTGGATGAAGCGCCTCTCTTCTTTTCCTCCAGACTCTGGGACCTTGATTTCCAAAGGAAATGCAAAATTTACTTTCATCAGAGAACATGACTTTGGACCACTCACCAGCAGTCCAGTCCTGTTTCTCTTTAGCCCAGGCAAGACGCTTCTGACGCTGTCTGTGGTTCAAGAGTGGCTTGACACAAGGAATGCGACAGCA